TCACATTCTCGTTGCCAAACTCACCTTGAAAACTTGGGATCCAGGCTCGTTGTAAGTTTTGGCATTCCTGACCAGCAAGTCTATATCTTTAGCCATGGCACTAACACTCCTGTAGTGTCTCAGCTGAAAGGAAAATACATGTATTTATATTCATTCATTCATAAATATAACTTATTTCGGTTTTTTAGGATGCCCCAGGGGGAACAATATACCTGAATTTTTTGAGCAACAGTTTTAAGATCAATTGGCTCCTTAATGACGGCATAATAATCCGGGTATTGCTAAAAGAAAAGGGCAAACTACACATCAAAGCCAGACCAGTTCATTTGACTGAAATTGTCCAAATTCATATTGAATATGCTTGTACCATTTTAGATGGAAGCTTCTGAAACAGCTCGCTGACCAGGCGGCCGTTGGGCTCACTGTAAGACCCCACGGCATCGAGGAGCTGCTCGAGGACTTCTTTCAAGCAGGTAGGAGCACTCTGTCATTCACAAGCAGTCACACGGTTTAGTTAAGGAAATACTACATCACCTTTAAGGTATACTACTATACTATTGATAGTATACCTAAAGTTAGTACAAGTGTACTATCAAAATCATTGTATAATTCCACAAAGGATGTTCCGAGTTAAATCTGTGCTGCAGGTGTAAAACATCATAGCTGACATAGTGGTTGGAGTCATTCAACAGATTAGAAACAACAGGAAATATTTACTATTTAACATTATTAGTAGTGGAATTAAATTGGTGGTGGGGGAAAAAATAAATTTCTGTTAATGTAGCGTTAGCTACTCGTACTCTGTTGGAAAGAACAAAATGGATCGATATGAAAATCGAAAACAAAACAAAAAGCGTTGCCCCAGTAAGAAAATCAAGGGAGTCTCCATCACAGAGATGAACTGGCTATCGGGGACGTTCCTCTGGATACTTTCATAGTAAAAATACGAAATGGGTGAACAGGGACAGTTCTCCTAGACATCTTAGTTAGCAGCGTGTAGCGAATGAAGAGTCTCAGTGAGCCCGTGTTGTCAGTAACGTGAGTGAGTGTCACCTCCTCCTCAGTCGACCCTCCAGGGTTGTCGGGTGCATCGTACCCTTCTTCATCATCATCACAGTCGCCTCGATGAACAAATTCATTTTTGGTTCTCAGGTAAAGATCCCAAAGTTTACAGGCTGCTCTGTATTCAGGACTGTCAGACTAGACGGAAACAAGCAAGCATTCATGGTGCAGATTCAAATTTGTATTTTCTGGAGAAAATGTGTAAACTATTTAGATTTTTAAACTGTTTTCATCACTATATAATAAATTGGGATTTTCTTTTACCTTGTAGTATGTTTTTGCATTCTTGAATAACAGGTGAAAGTCACTAGTGAGTTGTTCAACATCATCATACTCCTCCATCTTTAGTTTCTGCTGGATCTTCATCATGTCAATCGGCTGAGACACCACATGATAATAATCTGGTTGATTCCTGTGAGAAAATGGATCTTGTAATTCGTCTGCACGCAATGTCTGTGTTAAGTGACTTGACAGATATTTTTTAAGAACTCCAGGGTGTAATTACATGCAAGTTTCTAATGACCATTCATCCCTTTCCTCACCTTCGTTTGGGGGCTCTGATGAACAGCTCACACAACATCCTGCCCTGATCATCCTTGTAATCTCTAATTGTATTATACAGCTCATGACACACAGCAATCTGCAAATCAAAGGATTAAACATTGAACAATATCTGCATCTTGGCCTAAGCCAACCAGGTAATAAGTGTGGTAGAACAATTCTGACAGTTTGTTAAAAAAAAACTGAAACTGAAATTCGTAGAAATTACAGGATCCACAGTTGGAATGTTTAAGGTCCTTCTCCTCTTTCTTCCAATTGAAGACCCTAACGATGAAGCCTGGCTATCGTCAAAATCTCCTCCACTCACACTGCTAGAGGGGGACGTCGCCCTTCTCCTTTTCAAGGCCATGACGACCCCTGAGGTAAAGAACCAGTAAAGTAAAGTATCACTGCATGGAGAAAATCTGACATGTGAGCTAGAAACATTACATTGTTTGTTTTCAACAGCATCCAAACAATGTGCACACTATGGAGGCTGAGTGAATAATCTCAATGAGGGACACAGAATGGGCTCTGTAGCAGAGTCATTTACACCCGATGAAAACCTTGCCATCCATGCTAGGAGTTATATGCTGGGGCACATGATGTACAGATGGGCAATGAATCAATATTTAGGAATACAGTCCCAGTGATTTACAATGGATGATGTGGAGTGAGGTGTTTTTTTTAACAGTGAATCACAATATGCACTTTTTGTTTAATCTAAACACATGGTAGTTATGTTTGGACTACCTATTTAGTCAAAATAGATTTCACTTCAAGACATGTGACCTAATTTATCTTTCCACACATATACAATATGTTCATTCTGATATTGTTTTCAGAGCCGTGAAGAACTGAATCACCTTAATGACACTTTGTTTTATTTTAAAATGTTCACTTCAATTAAAAAGGCCTGCTGGAGCTGATCGTGTCTCCGTCTTTAGATTTAGTACTAATATTTAAGCAGAGAAGCTGTGACAGTGGACAGTAAAGCACATTTGGAAATACAAAATAAGACAGAGACACGTTTTTTTTTTATTTGTATTGTGCTTTTCATTGACCCGTTTATGTTCTACGCTTCACTTTTACGTGAAAGAAAAAAAGGCTGGAGATGGAGGGTTAACTGAAGAACAATGAAAGAAATTGTCAAGATAATATGCAAATGTTAAATGCAAATATCTGAGTTCTTATTATTTTTTGTATGTCGCATAATGTACATGATTAATGCGTACACTCTGTGTGTAAGCAGTGCCATGTGGGATGCAAGACACCCACGTGTAATTGCATGTCAACCCAAATGAACTTTGACCCCTAATTGAATCTAATACTTAAGACAACATGAGTGTGAGTTTTGATGAATTCGCCAACAAAATGGCAACAGAATGGTGTTTTGTTTTTAAAAAACAGGCCCTGCCATCTCCCCGACGACTTGGTGCTCTTTATAGTCGGATAATAAAAAGGTGAACACCCACCCGAGATCATTATTATCTCCTAGCGTCCACGCAGTCACGTTCACTTCAAAAAGGACAACTCTGCTGCCGTGTGTCTGGAGGTTTTTTTAAACTAAAACGTTAACGGCTCCGCTTAATGTCACCTAGCAGCGCGCAGCCCGCCGTCGGCTGCGCACACGTCAGCGGGTTAGCTAGCACGGACGCCCGCGGCTGCCCCCCCAACCTGTCACTCAGGAGTGGACAGGTAACGGCCCCAGGGGAGCTAACGTTAGCTGCGCGTCACGGTTAGCATTCAACATCACCCAACGTCAGTTTAACGCTGGCTCGACACGAGACAAAAGGCATCACTGGGGCGACGTTTAACGTTGCAGGGCTACCGTTAAGTGAGATGACGACACATGACAGGGGACCGTTCGAGTTTAAACCCTTTGAAATGTGTGTGCGCTTACCTTCTGGGAGCCCGTTACTGGACTTTCAAAATATATAATAATGCAAAAAAAAAAGCCAATCACTTATCGATTTTAGACCGAGAAACAGAAGTGTAAAGGTAGCGTTACATTAACTGCCACTTCCGTTTGTTGACCTTCAGAATAAAAGGGTGGATGAACTCATATGAGTTGTTTGGTTTTAAAAAATGGCGACGACTCGTTGCTCTCTTCTCGCTTTAAGGTTGGATTTGTTTGATACGCAGGTGATATAACAGCGACCGCTTATCATTTAGAAACCACAGGGAAAACATAATAACTAAACGTGTGAGTTCGGACGTTGTTTATTTCGCAGCGGACGCGTCACAGTTCCTGGTAATAGTTGGTTTACTTTAACTTTACAACTCGCCATCAGACTCAGTGTTTCGACTGACCCCTTCATGTCAGGTCACTGACACGAATCCTGCTTTGAATCCTGTTGTGCACAAATTCCCACTGGCTCTGTCTAGCCATCCTTGCATCATCAAATCTCGTTTCCATGTATGATTTGAAAAAAGACGTTTTTATTCCTTAAAGCTTTAATACAAATTCCATAAACTCCTGATGTGTTATTCTGAATATCAGACTTTTGGGCACTTGCTACAATTAAAGAACTCTTTTCACAATGTCGTATTGTGTTATGTTTTCTAGGTGTTCTGCTTCTGGGATCGCAAAGAAAATAAAGGAACTTTCTTATAATTCATCCGCACCCTTAAAATGATTCACGATTGCCGCTCCTACATCTTTAGCAGGTCAAACCACATTTTTGAGGGATGATCATTGAGGACAAAAAAAATAGTCTGTCTGAACATCACAATAACTACGCAACATAATAACTGGAAAATAGCTGAGAGTTAACTCGAGACCAAATCAGGTATATTACAAGGATTTTTTAATTTTGTAAGATTCATTTAACTTGTTTCATAAGAAATATAACTTAATATGTTGAGAGGATAAGTTGATGAGTTATTAGGATACATTATTTAGTGTTTCAAAGGAGATCGATGCTGTCTTATCGTCCTATCATAGTAAACTTTGCTTTTGATGGATGCATGTTAAGCAGTCTGAGGAAAACAAGCTTCGGGATTTGGCCAAAGACATTTAGCCTTAGCAGGCTCAGGCACAGATATTTTCAGATATTTTCCTGTTATAAGGTTTGGAAGAGATTTCATCCTGGTCTGACCCATGTAAACGTGACGGATGATACAGTAGAATTATTATTTCATTTTATTTGATATTTAGATATTTTATTGTCTATCTGTGTTTCTTTTTTGCAGAAGGCTATCCAAGTGTTATTCGTTGTATATAACACAACCAAATGAAATAAATCACAACCATTAACCATTGATTCAGCCGCTATATTCCTTAATAAACACAGGATTGTTTAATATAGTTTAAAGATAAACGTGCCCCTTCCTGCGCTCTCCGCTGGGCGGCGGCGTGCGCCCTCCAGCTGGCTGCACGACCCGCCCCGGGGAAAAAGAAGAAGAAGAGACGCGCAGCAGGAAGTGTTCACATCGGGCCCGTCCATGTGATGCTGTTTGCTTCTTCATTCATTCTGGAAAGCACAACTTTGGCTCACGCGTTAGCTTTCTTTCACAAACAAACCAAAGACGAAAACGGCCGTTACCCCGTGCAAGCGGCCAGCCAGCTAGCTAACTAGCTAACGTAGAAATCGCGCTAGAGTTGTTAAGAAAAGTAGCATCTGCAGACACGTTGACTGCGTACGTCGATTCTTAATGAAAAGTGCAGTGGATACGAGCATGATAAAGGAAAACCGCTGGAACGTCCCCCCTAATGCGCCAGCCTGCATGGAGAAGCACCTGTGCTCGGTGCAGTACAGATCAGGTAACGTTACGTCTCACGGCGAGCTAGTTAAAGGTTACCACAGGTAAACACGTGGTCTATTTACCTAACGTACTGTGCTGTCGGTTATTGGAAAAATATACAGATGTAGATCTAATATATTTATATAAATTGTGCACAAGCATATCAGCCCAGCTACTGTGTTGCAGCTGGCTGCTAAGCAAACAAATTGCTACTCTGCACGTTGAATGCTAGTCGAATTAGACAGTTATTCATCGTAATTCCGTTGTTATTTTTAAATTCTGTTTTTATACGTATTTTCTTGTTGTTTGTACTCCACAGATGGCACTTTGCTGCTCGGTGCCTCCAGTCTCAGTGGCAGGAGCTGGCAGGGGTCCGTTTGGATCTACAGTGACCCAAAGCAGGCCCCCAACGAGGAACTCTGCAAAGCTGGTGTGCAGACTGAGACCGGAGTCACCGATGCCAAATGGCTGTCAGATAAGGGCATTCTCGTGGGATCTGACTCTGGTAAGAAGCACATTCCCAGTAGTTATGAATCAAATGCTGTGACTGGTTAACAGGGGATTTTATTTGACTTGTTGGTTCCTGTGCAGGCGCTTTGGAGCTCTGGGAACTGTCAGAGGATGAAGGTCTGCTGGTGAACCGCTTCACCAAACTTGAGCACGACCACATCGTCACCACGGTGAGCCCACAAGCTGGAGCAAGCGGTGCCGTCACTGGTAGCATGGACTGTCGGTAAGACAACATTCTTCACATGTCTCTGTTGCACAACAGATTATCTTATCTTATTATTATTTTATTGCTCAAAACAATTCTAACCCAAATGCACTTACCCTTTCTTCACAACAGGATTAAAGTCTGGGATCTCAGTCAGGAGACGGCCGTCACCACCTACCATGGTGAGGACAAATGCTCCCAAATATCTAGATGATAGTTTTATTTTTAATCAATCGAATTTTGAATTCATTGGTTACTATGTCTACCAATTTAAGCAAAAAAATGCACTTACAAATTATAATGGGGCATAAATGGCCCCATTTGAATAGTGTGGTTTTAACCTTTTTTTTTTAATGTTCACTAGATGGGGAAAAAATAATGAACTGACTTTGTTTAACTTTCTTTCCTCCCCAAGCGCACACGCAGCCAGTCTCCTGTGTTGCTTGCAGTCCTACAGACGAGTCTCTCTTCATCTCCTGTGGTCAGGTATGACATCGTTAAAAACACCATATTTAACAATTTAATAACCTTCTGCACTACGTTTTGAACCAACTGCAACCAACTATTTTTATCCTGTGCTGCAACACAAGAAAGCCTTAATAAATGCTGTAAAACTCTACTTCTTTTCATTCAAACTCAACTTATTCGCCATCTCTCAGGATGGCCGTGTGCTCATGTGGGACAAGAGGAAGCCACACAAACCTGCCTCAAGAATAGGTGAGTGACACGTCAGCCCAAACAACCAGTTCCAAACATTTCCGCAGGAAGGCTTTCTCTGTCTTGTATAAAAAAAACACCTTTTTGTTGTTTTCATTATGACTATTCCACTGTTGTCTCTGTTTTTGTCTCAGATATAGAGTCCCCCAGCTGCTCCGCTACCACTGTAACCTGGCACCCCCACCACAGAAGCACCATTGCTTTTGGTAAATCCCAGCAGCAGATTATTGATTGGCGGAGACATTAGATTGTCAGTCCCATTTTTTGTTCACCCCATTTTTAATTCTGTTTATTGTGTCTTAGGGGATGAGTTGGGCAGAGTGACCGTGAAGGATTTCCTGGGAACAGAGCCGGCCCGGAGGGAGACGGTGCACAGCCGTAGAGTCAACGGTCTCGCCTTCTCTACACATGGGTAAACAGAAATGCTGGCCTAGTATCTTCATCTCTTGCATTGCTCCGCTACAAAATGTTTACTTTATGTTTCTTCCTCTCAGTGCCTCCTTGCTCGCCTCCATAAGTGATGATTGTTCAGTCGTTGTTTTGAACTCGGAACTGCGAGAAACGTGAGTCTTTGCCCTTACTAATTCTAAACACTTGGTTAGATCAAAATAAATGGAGTAGTAATCATGCATTTTTCATTCTGTAGGCTCAGAGATAGGCGCCACGAGGACTTTGTTAAAAGTGTGTGCTGGCTTCATGGTGGATCCAACACACTCACCACCGTAGGCTGGGACCACCTTGTGCTTCACCACACTGTCAATCCAGCGGCTGAAGCTCCCAACTCTTCCTCTTAGACCCAAAGAGGATCACACACCTTGGAAAGAGCACATTTTAAGATGACTCCTTTCCCCCCCTATTTTTGAGGGGCCTCCACAATATCCAAAACGTTAAATCTGTCAGTCAGGAAGTATGGACTACGAGTGTCTCATTGTCCTTTAGTACTCCACATATGTGCAGAATATTCAGTCTTTTTCTCTCCCAGCCCCTCAGTTAATTTCTACAATTTGCAACATATATGTTCTCTCTATTCACTTCCTCCATTCTGTATAGCTCTGTCTAATTATGCTTAAGGTAACCCATTTGTATGGCATCGTTTTACATTAAAGGTAACTTCATGTTGATAGCACCACCATTTTGACATTTCTTTGTTTCCTGGAATATATTTTGTGACAACAAATGCAAGACTAATAAGAGAAGAAGACTGGAAATGCTTTGCCTGGTCTGATGTCTAGATTTCAACTGCAACATTCAGATGGTGGGTCAGAAGTGATCATTGGCAACGTGACTGCGTGAATCCATCCTGCGTGGCGCCTTCGTACCAACGCCACGTTCTAGCTGAGTAGAGATGCTGACCACGTCCCTCCCTTCATGACCACAGTACACCCAGCTTCTCCCAGGATACTGCATCATGCAAAACTGCAGGATATGTCGTCAATATGCACCAACATCTCTGAGGAATGTTTCCAACATATTGTTGAAACCGCTAACTACTATACGAAGAATTAAGGCAGTTCTAAAGGCCAAAGGCGGTCCAACCCGGTACTAGCAAGGTGTACTTAATTAAGTGGCCGGTGAGTGTATTCTGTCCCTCTTAAACTCCATTCAACTTATTATGTATTTATTTGAAACTCCACAAACAGAATTTTAATTCATTCGTATCATTTCAAATTGTGACAGAGCTGTGATTATTTTTTAAACCAATGCATGTATAATTACTGTATTATATTATTCATTGCTAAATGAGATTAATTTCACAAGGGGTTTGAAAGTGAGACTAAAATCTACAATGCCTGGGAATCTTGAAATAAGTTTTCTAGACCAAGACCGAAAGAAAAAAAGTTTATTCAAGTTATAAAATCTTTATGTTGGTGCCACATTCCAACCGTCGTTCCAGTTCTATTCTCCTATGCACACCCAAAAGCACCATGTCATCGGCCCTTTCACCGTTCCTCACTAAGATGTCTTGTTAACACACAATTGTTTTAGTTTCAGATTAGTTGTTGAACATGTTTGCTTAAAGACTTTACAACGAACATTTGAAATAGCTTATAGAAAATATGTACATGTGTGTAGACACATTAACACAACGTTTACTGCAGTAAAATAATTATTATACAGATGGGAAAGAATTTCTGAGAACAATAAATATGAGAAACATATTTGGCTTTGTGCAAATGGACAGATTTACTTTAATCGTGTGTGTCTAACCATCTAACGTTTCAGTTATGGGAATGATGTAACTACAAAACAAATTTCAATAGTTGCATTTTACATTGTTATTATTTAACAATAAAATGTACAGATATGTGCAAGTTGAGATTTAACAAGATTTTTTGAGGGGAGTAATGTAGATTCATTTTCACTTGCCAGCTGTGAATAACTTAAATGAATGTAACCGATGTTGTATTAAACAGCTTTAGGTAAAAGGGGAATATTTCCAACATTAAACTATATATAGCAGCAGCAAATAAACAAAAAATGGTCCACCTGACATCTAGAAATTATATACATAACAGAAAACACAATTTGACAGTGATGGTGTGTTCTCATAAGATTGAGGCGTGCGTTGACTCAGCAGACCGTATCTATGGGACATTTCAAACATATTTGTTAAGTCATTTGTTCAAAGTGCTTCTGTACAAATGCCTTCTGAAGCAAAAACACATGATCCAATCCCGTGCAAAGTAAGATAAGCAGAAGAACACGTGTCTCTTTAAAAAGTCTCATTACGGATCCCCTTTACGCACGAGACTAATGGGCTGCTGCGTTCCAGGCCGAACAGTAAAGGTCATCCCGTGCTGATGTATTGACTGGGTCCCGTTGCTGAAAAGAATAACATATTCATGATTATGAGTTGATTCTGTACACAGACACTGGGCTTTTTGTCTCCAAAAATGTCAAGTCGGCATATTTGAGCACTCTTACCTCTTGGGAACTTTCCCTGAAGAGGTTTCCTCATACTTTTTGGCCACTTTACGCTCCAGCTCCTGCATGTTCAACGTTGCTGCTTTGTTGACCACAGGGTAATTCTTGCTCTGTGGTGCGGCTGTCTGGACAACAGGGACTTTATTGTCCTCATCGTACATGGGGGCGCCCCAGTCATCAGAGGAGGACTCTGCCTCGTTCGCCGGGGCCATTTTCGGGTCCATTTCCATCATCTTCTTTTGGAGGATGCTCAGCAGCGTGGCCTGGTTGGGTGAAATAGTGGCTGGGAGCTGAGCGGGGGCTGTCTTGGGTTTCATCTGAGTTTGCTGCATTGGTTTGGCGATGATTTCAGGAGGGGGGAGTTTTGGAGCTTCTGGTATTTTGGGTCTCGGTGGGGGAGGAGGAACATGGGATGGAGGGCGAGGGACCTCAGTTACTGTTGGTGCCTTTTTCCTGGGAGGGTCAGGGGGACGCATGGAGGGAGGCGGCTCCACAATGTCATCCAAATCTCCAAACTCTGGCGGCGGAGGGAGTAATGGCATAATTATCTCCTCAGGCTGTGTGTGTTGTGAAATTGAGGGGCTTTGTGTTGCGCTTGGCTTCTGCTCAACCAAGTTGGTCGCACTTGGGGACGCTACCGTCCCTCTGAGAGCTGAACCCGCGGATGACATCGGATCCTTGGCCGGAGCGACACTGCTGGATTTGATTGGAGGCTGAACTGTTTGTGCCACTGGACAGACGGACTTTAGACCCTCCTGTACTCTGTCCAAAGACGTTAGAGAAGAGGACGAGCTGGACATCGGGGTGACACTAAATGAATTGGGACCGATGTCATTCGGTTGAATGCTGGCGCTTGGCTGCTCAATCGCCTTGCTCCTGTTTTCCTGTGATACAAAGGAAGCCGATTTTTGTTTGTCTCTTTCTTTAGCCGCCATTAAAAGAGCCAGAGGGGACGCGGCAGGTCCATCTCGAGCCCCGTGGGCTTCACCACTCTTCAGGTTGCGTAGTTTACGATCTAGTATCGGACTAAATTTGCGACTTGGAGATCCGACATATCTGTCCTTGATGATGGAGTCTGAATTTACCTGAGTACCGTTTAGCTTACGCAGCTGTGGGGACGTTTGATGTGGGGTCCGGAGGGGTTTGTCAAATTCGGGCTGTACTGAAACCGTCCCTTCTTTAGCCTCCTTGGTCGGCTCAGGGGGCGGTGATTCAGAGGGTTGGGTAACTGGTAAATTCTTCTTCAGCTCCTGTACATCTTTGGGAGCTGGTTTATGAGGCGTAGCCCCTTGAGGGGCTTTTCCATCAACATTTGCAAGAACTGGGGCAGAGTTACTGGACGCAGAATCTTCCAGGAGCAACATCTGCTTGCTTCTTGTATCTTGCTCTTCATACCCTCTGAGAAATGAGGTCTGAGGAACAGAGAAAACCTTCGCTGTGTTTTGGGGATTGAAGGTGGAGAGTGTGGTTTTCTTCTCAGGGGGGGGTGGAGCAGGTGTGGCTGGTGGCGAGTCTAAATTGGACATTGACGACAGTCTAATGGGTTTTGGAGGTGGTTTCTTTTGAGACTTGTGTTGACTTTCCGAAGGAGGCACCGGTGGGGAGAACGTTGGATGCTGTGTCGGTACGTTTGACGGTGGACGGGAAATGGGGCCGGATGACACAAAGCCATTGGAGCGAGTGGGTGGAGGCTCTGGGGGAGCCATTGGTGGGGGTTTCATGAAGGTTAAGTCCTCCGCCTCCATGAATGGTGGCAGTGAGGCTGGCTTCGGATCGGGCATGGAGAGAGAGGGAAGGGTTGCCGCATTTAGACTGTTCAGGTCCCCCATGAAGTCTAACGGAGGAGGGATAAAAGCTCCTGGAGGGGGTGGAGGAGCCATAGCAGGAGGAGGAGGAACAAACAACCCTCCCTCTTTGAGGACAGGCACGGACATAACAGATCCATTGGACAAGTTGTCTCCAACTAAGGGAAGAAAGAAAAGAAGAGGAAACTAAGTATGGTTCAGCGCGGTTGTACACCGTGAAGCAGCAGCGACTACAACATTCATTTTATCTCAAATGTGGAGAATGTGAAGCAGCGACTACTGACTACTAGAGATAAATCATTAAGAATCAACCATTTTTACTACTGAAATTGTGGCCAGTGGTTCTATTTCAATCAGGGTAACTTCATATCAGATAAACAAGCAAAAAATAAATAAACTATAATGGTTGATTCTCTGTTAATAACACTCCCATTGTGTAAATATGCTCTCCCTCTGGTATGGCGGTTTAGACACATTGAGGACGGTTATTGAGCAACAACCCTTTGAAGAGACGTTTTGATTGCTGCGATCCATGAGTCAGAGTGAAGGCACTACAAACGATCCCTTCAGAGTGTAAATAATGGAATTCTACTGTTTTCAACGTTAAAGTTAAAGCACATATTGTCTATACGTAGAAGCTCACCTGAACCGTTGATCTTTGGACCGTTGACAGAGGGGAGGAGGGGAATCTTGGGTGTTGCGACAGCAAACCCTTGAAAGCTGTCAAATGAGGACTGTGAACCGAAAATAGAAAGCATTTTAATAATATTGTGTATTTTTCAACATCTTACAAAAAAGGCATTGTTCAAGAGCAGCAGTAAACATGACGGGAAGCCAACATGCTGTTGTGAGGCGTGCCACCTATTCTCTCCTGGAGCGAACAAACCAGTTCTCCCCTTTTGCAGTTGACTGCAGGAAAACACTTGAGCATGTCCAATACTTACTACTTTAGTAGTAATAACAAAAGATCACAGCTCTTGGTATTAAGAAGAACCTAATGCATAACTATATTTGCATAAAATAAGTTATATATACAGTATTTAATGATTTAAATGTAATACAAATCTTCTGTTGTTTATAAACTATTTGTAATGCTCTGTTTTCAAATAAGTGAATTCTGAGACTCTTTTGTTGGCCATGATTCAGAGATGTTGCTCTCTAAAGGATTCTTTTTGTACACTGCATACTTCCCTCATGAGAAGTGCTCAGTGATTCATACTGTAGGATACACCTTTTATTTTTCACATTGTGTGCAGGCCTGTCTGAGAAAGTTGCGGGCTGTCACTTTGAAACCTGTATGCTTATGTGTATGTGTGTGTGTGTGTGTGTGTGTGTGTGTGTGGTAGAGATTTGATGTTCTCGTCATGGCCCAAAAGCCACCAAAAACAAACACAGACTGTGTTGACACGATACAAGTCCATGAGAGTTATCGGGCCATATGCCCTTCGTAAGGGCAAAAGAAAATCATAGTTCCAACAACACAAAGGTTGTTTTTACTGCTGTATATCTTGACACTAATGCGATGCTCACTGAGTAATCTGTAAATGCATTGAAACTACAGGCTTGCCCTACGGACTCTTGTCTTGTTATGTATTGTTAATAAGGTTGGTAATGACTTTGTGATTCTTCCGCCCCGAATTCCAGGCTGAATATCTGCCCAATGTCACGCCTCAAATTATGCTTATAACCACAGGACACTGGTTTTACTTTTTCACTTCTTGGAAAAGCATGAACACCATTCCACAGGTGGGGGGCGAGTCAGCAAAGACAACGTATGATACTGTTTGATTTCATCCGTTTGTTTCCTTGCACCGTGACTCACTTTCATCTGACGCAGTGTGTGTGTGTGCGCGCCGTCCTACCCTGCGAGGTGCGGCAGGTACAGCTCACGCCACAGACGCATTCACACAACACTCCCAGAGGCGTGTGAACCAGAGCAGCGAGGAGATCTGCACCATGATGCCACAATGGGAGGCAGCAAGTAAAAGTACCAAAACCAGAATTTCAAAATACTTCACACGTAGCAGTGTTACATTAATTAATTAATTTAAAAATGTAAATAAAAAATTTTGATTTTCAAAAGCTAATGTGCTTATTATGCTGTGGAATGCAGGAGCCATGCCAACTGCTTTTATGAGTAACCACAATCCAAACTGTTTGGGCACCACGGTTATTCAACAATGTATTTTCTAAGAATATCATTTTTCTTTATGCGGAATCTAGTATTTCTAGCTGTTAGATAAATGTAGTAGAGTAAAACGCAAAATGCTCTTAACACGAATGTTGTAGTAAAACAATTCAAGGGAAACTGGTACAAAAATAAGTAGCCAAAGTATTTAAATGTATTTAACATCTTTCCCAAACTAAATATGGCTGTTTCTAGGAAATGTATTCACTGTGCATTTTTTACAGTAATATCTTAATTTCAAGTTTTCAGTTTTAGTGTTGCTCTGTGCAGTAAATCCATTAATGTTTGTACTGTTTATGCCTTGCTCTTGATTTTTTTTAAAGGTGTCTGCAGATTTAGCTTTTGTTTTACATTACAAAAATGCTGTATTTGCTTCAGGTAGACTTCATCTGTTTGTTTGTTTTTCTCAACTGAACATTAGCAGTTTCAGGTCATTTTGAGGTACCAAAGCAGCCTCTTAGTTGTTGCCACTGAATTTAACAATCTACAGTGAGATTACAAACATGCAGTATTTGTAATGGGAATCACGAGGATTTTCAATGAACACGTCATGTCCATGTGCTTGTGTGCGCTTAACTCTTCAGTCATCAAGGAATTTATTTGAATTGAATTCAGTTAATTCCTTCCATTGTAAACGACAGGGTGGAGTCAGCGAAGAGTGACGCATATCTAATATCATTCCAATTTCTGAAGCTTTACTGAGGTACTCACAGCGTTATGCTTGACGGTGGGTCTGGCCCGCACACTGGCCGTTCCTGACTCGGGGACCGCTGGGGACTTCAGCACCAGCTCCACATTTTCTGGGTAAATAAAAAATTAAAAAAAAGATGTGTATCCACTTCATGTTTTGCCGTTCAATCTCTGCTCAAAGCTGCGAGAACACAGGCTTGTTTTTATTATTTAAAAGAACAATAAATTCACATCAATACTGACAGGATTGCGTATTCATGATCAATTAGAGAGCTTCAGATACATTTCGCCATCCGAAACTGCACCGTGTCCATCTGTTTGTTGTGCTAAGTGAAAATGAGTACATTCTGGTAATTCCACAGGTAATGACGTACCAAAGCGGCCTAGTAGTTATGGTCACTGAACAATCTACAGTGAAATCTCATGTGCCGTTAAAGGCAGTTGTGTTGTTGACAACTAAATAGTTTGCGGAAGCTGAAAAAATGAATTTTTTTATCTTTGTTTATACTGGTGTTGAAGTAAAATTTGAGTTTTAGTGCTAGTTGAATTAAATTACAAGACACAATAATGAATTTATGTTTTATATTCATGAGTTGTTCTTCATTATTTTACTCTCTCCACAAAATTGAAATGATGTTTTAGTGAATTTACGGTTTTTAATGATTTTTTTGTAATGAAGTATTTTGTTTTTTAGAAATTGGGAAAGAAGTATTTCTATAACATTAATCATGTTTGATTAAGTTGGTCAGAAAATCTTTAAAAAAGATATGTTTGTGTTCAGTTCAAAGCTCTGTCAGGTAAAAGGTAGTGATGAGTTTAATGAGCACTGAGAGAGACAATCAATCACTAAATCTATCCAACTTTACATGTCGAATAATAAGATTACTTTGGTTGGTTGGAGAAAAAATAATTTAGCACATTCCAGTGTCAGTCATCCTGTTTGTCCAAAAAGAGACCAATGAAAGAAGCTTGACAATGAGAGGCACTCAATTAACTCAGTATGAACAACTACTGAAAGAATTGGCGTTGGCCCAGTTTAATAATTAGTTTCCCCATTGTGCGCCTGCCTCATTTAAATAGACAAATGTTCTCCCTCGAGTATTGGTTTTGCATACGAGTGGCTTTTGTTTCCTGTGCTTGCCAATAAAATAAATGTGGACATTTGGTTAGTCTGTCGGTAACCTGATCTCAACACGTGAGAGGGGACATTGTCTGGTCTTACCCGATTATAAAGGTGCACCTTTGGGGATGTCTTTTCTTGGTCTTACATGTGGAGCAGTATCATTGCAGAGATACACATCATTTCACACCTCGATATTGTAGTTTTGGTTTAAAAAAAAAAATGGAATCAATTGCTTTCTTTTACCACAGCTGTCAACAGCTCAATTGGAGGTGACTCGTCTGTAATTGGATGCGTATGTGTTGTTACAAGTTATTAAAGCACTAATAAATGTTCTGATTCCTCAATGTACTTAATTGAAAATCATGTGTTTTTTTTGTCACCCTTATTATCACCACCTTTTGGATCTTTCCCTCACAACAATGGTAGGACGTCATTGTGTTATGTTCCTGATATGGGGACATAAACTGCTCCTACAGTCCCTCGGTGTCCAAACAGTCCCTCGTTTCCTCAAAGCATTGTTCAGGTAACAATACACCGAGTGAACACAAGACAGGCCTCTGTGAAGCCAGGCATGCATGGCCTCACATATATCAAGAAGAAGAAGTCTTGTTAAGTCCACACACGGGAGCTGCGTGTCTTTAGGGCTCCTGGTCAACATCCAGTACAAAGGTCGTGTCATTCTGCCGTGAACGCGTTCTCTCTGTTACAACCGAGGGGGCCCTGCAAACTGTCCCGGCTACTCACCCATCTCCTTGATTGGAAAGTTGTTGTCGAAAAGAGACTGGTTCTTTCGACCCCGAAAATGCAACTTCCCCCTCTTCATGGTTATCGATAAGTTGTCGAGTAGATGCGACTGAGCGAAAGGATCACTGGCGCATTCTGAGGTTAAAAAAAAAGAAAAGAGAAGAGGTAAATCCCCGGCAGCGCGCAGGTGAGCTGGTTGGGCGACAGGTGCAGCGCCGCGCAACAACTAAAGCTGACTTCAGTGTTTTGGTGCAAACTATTCGGGCCACACGGGGGAAAAATGCAGTTAGCCCCGCCCACTTTGTTCCCACTGCGCCTCCCCGCCTTTGTGCGGCACACAGGTGAGGTCGTGGCTCTCCTTCTCTCATTCCAGCGCTCTGAATGGGCCCCTCCGGTATGTGCTGGCTGGTTGTGACAGTGTTCCGTTCGGTAGAGACATCGGGTGAATGGCATCAAAGTAAACATGGACACAGCTTAAAACTTAGAACTTAAAACATTCAGGAGAGCGAAATCAGGTTTTACTTCATTACCTAAAGGCAACCATCCGTCATCAGCCTACTTTTCTTCACCCCGGCACATTTAAAAATGTTGCTGTTTTTCTAGTGTAGTCTGGTGATCAAGATTTGAAATACAAAAACAATAACCAGCATACAACACATGGTGCATTATTGTTAATTATACGAATGTTATTTCTTAATTACTTTTGGAACATTACTTTTCTGTTATAAATCCCGATCTCTGTTCTAAATGTGTCATGGCTTAGGTATTAGCTGAACTCTTTAGAGTTATTTACCAAAGGATGAGGAAGCATGTGACCTATAACAGGATAACTGGGCAGATAATGTAAAAGAGGATCAAGATTCATCCAAAGAGTTGGCCGACGCATGACAGCAAACCTACAATAGGCTATGATTTGTATGGATCAACGAATGAATGACTAACGTCATTGCAATCCGGTAAGAACAATTTATATATTTTCTGACACGATGAATATTAAATTCAGGGCGTCAAATAATTGAATTTAGAGGTCAGTGTTATTCATTTAATAATCCGTAATTAGTGAAGTGAGTTTAACTAGGAGCCAGTAGATCCTTTACTTCTCTCACTGCTTCTGTCACACCTTCAGTTGCCGTGGAGACAACCAGACCAGTCTATCCAGTTCTTCTGGCCTCAGTGGGAATTCATCACACCAACCAATGCTGAAATGTAAAGAATTTGCAAGCCATCATGGCCTCCTCGGGTCATTCATGTATTCAATAACTCAGGTATTTATTCAATCATGTCTAGATACGTTATGCTCATTGAATGACGGCCGTTTCATATGAACACAGTTGCTAAAAATGGTATGTGGTGTTTTATAGAAAACATGGCTGTGTACTAATGCCGGACAATACTATTACATTTTTTATTGATAAACTACTTGCCTTTGTTTTCTTCTTATACTATTTAAGAATCATACAGGCCCTGAGCTACATTAGAATCCCCAAAGAGTACAAAGTCAGCAGAGATTATACTTTTAAAGACATAAAAGGAAGTAAAGACCATTAACATTTTGCATTCCATTAGAACTATGAATCGGTTGGGAATGTAAATGAAACTGAAGATAATATCGGAACTGGATTCATTGTTTTGAAGAATGTTTGCAGTTAGTAAGATGACCGCGGTTTTCTTACAGCTACAGCTTTCCTAGCTCTGATTTTTGAGTACCAATAGAAACTGTTCTGTGAGCCTGCCTGCATACCAGATCCATGTTTGTTCATGTATGTGTTTGTTTTACTGTAGTTGCTGTAGGTAATTTGCACCTGATAATGATCTTGCATTGTGTTCAAAAAGATTAGTATACACATAGTATTTCAGTAGCTCTGCGTGTTTATTTGCTATGTAGCTGGTGCCTCAATATTGTAGGTCAAACCTTGCTTAGCACTCCATGTTTCTCCCCGCAAAAGGCCCAGTGGGATTTTTCCATTTGATTTTGGATAAATACATAAATACAATCAGCAGAAGTATAAAGCTAACGTTAGGCCACAAACAAACTAAACCACGGCTGCATCGGTGTGAGCAAACACAAGGAGGCTACGAACCCTCACAATTACTTGATAACGTTCCAATGACACATTTTGCCTCTTGTTAGTCAAAGCGTCCATATTCATAACTGGGTTTTTTACTTAAATATTTAACATCTAAGAAACAGTGAATAAAAAACAAGTGTGAACCAATGAGTGCAATAAACATTTAAGTATATTCACAGACAGAGAAAACATATACGTATAATGTACTTTGTACACTCAATACATGCTACTAAAAAAGGAAATAAGCTAAAAATACACGTGATGGATAATAATTCACAAGGAATGAAGAAGATGAAATGTTATTTTTCTCTACATAAATACAATTCACATGAAACCAGAGGCAAACCCATACTGTGGTTGCAGTAGTATGGTTTTTGATTCATAAAAGTCAGAAATTTGAAATGTGACGTTTTGGTCAGCAGGTGCATATCTGCTCACAGCTGGTTTTCAGTCTGCGTAGTGTCCATGTGCAGAGCAGTACATTCTGGTCATGGTTTTACAGAACTCTTATCTCCTCTCTGTTTTATTTATTTGGCTAAACAGACATGGGAAACGGCACTGCGTCAGCTATGATGGAACTACGAGCTTGTGAGCGTCAAACTGAAAATTCATGGCCGGGTGCCCATCCGGACTTCTCCACTTTTACAGGTTCAAGCAAATCTTTGGTCTGAGGAACCTGTCGGATGTCTCAACGCCTGTGTTGAGACCGTGTTTACAACGTTTGATATGAATTATGTAAGGTGATTTTGAATCTTCTGGAAGGGTGATTGAGTTCTCATTACCTTTATTTATTTATTAAAAAAATTCTGCATTTATTGGATACTATGGATACTACTCACGTATCTCTCAACTTGAATATCTGCTTGTTCTCCTACTTCAATAGAGCACCCACAACAATTGATATTTGATTGCATGTACTTTATTTCCATTTCCATTTTTTGTTCGCTATGGCAAACTGTGAGGGCAAAAAAATTGCTTATCTTCATCAGGATTTTTAAAAACAGAGATAATATATTTCCTTAGTGACTGCCAGTGTATTGAAATCAGACTGAGAGACACATGGCCTATCAGAGAGGAGGCTTATCCCACTGACTGCTTATCAAGCTATTCTCAAAACAAGACCTCTTTTTCAAAAAGGTTAAAAGAACAAATTGCATTACAATTAAATAAGTTGTCAAATCAGAGGGCAACAGTCTTTGACTCCACATGTTTACAGTGTTTTTGCACAGACTTCCATGTGTTCGGACTAGACACAGCTCTACTCACAGCAACACCCATAATGTCCTTTTCTCTTGCAGTGCGGCTTCATTGATTTTATGGAATAGGCAGCTGCTCTGGTGCTGATGGGGGGAGTGCAGCAGCCGCTCCGCTGGTACCTTAAACTGTTTGATGTCAATAGAAGTGGCTGCTTTGACCGATGCAGAGCTGCTTTGGTTAATAAAGGTGAGCATGAGCCCTCATGGTAAAGCTTTATGCATTTCTTAGTAATTAATTAAGTACCGCGTACCTCTCGGCTCTGACTGACATACGGCAGAGAAATCCCACCGCTGGCTTAGAGGAGTGCGGAACACACTGCACGGATGCGAGGTGCAGAAACCAATAGCTGATACTTAGCTGACATCTACTGGTTGAATATATTAACAAGTAGGCAACAATTTGATATCAATGGGATTCCTTGTGAAATGTTACCAGAGGACTTTGCCAACATGGATGAAGAAGGAACCATGGATCTTCAGTCATAAGTTGGGGAGCATTAACTGGGTTCGGGTAGTGGACGGAAAATAATGCAGAATATATTCAAGCTTGAGAGTGTTATTGTCTAAAAATCCTTCCTGCTATAATCAGCAGAGAGAGTTCAGAGTGTGTGTGTGTGTGTGTGTGTGTTTTTTAAGGGAAACTTTTATACGAAGAGTTCATGGAGGAGGTTCACAATGACAGCGTGCTGCTGATGAACAGAGAGTTTGGATCTCACACGTTGTTGTTATCAAAGTCTTGTGCGTTTCCTCTTTAATCGGCCTCTAGACTGAGCTAACAACTGTATAAAGCTTTTTCACAACCATAACAAGGTTTTATTATGCTGCATCAGGTTTAGGTTTTTATGGACCATCCACTCATCCATCTTCACACCGCTTATCCTGCGCACAGGGTCGCGGGGGGGGCTGGAGTCCATCCCAGCCAACTTTGGGTGAGAGACAGGGTTCACCCTGGATTGGTCGCCAGCCAATCGCAGGGCTACACAGAGACATACAACCATTCACACTCACACCTACGGGAAATTTAGAGTCCCCAATCAAACTGATCCTCAGAGCACGTCTTTGGACTGTGGGAGGAAGCCGGAGAACCCAGAGAGAACCCACGCAGACACGGGGAGAACATGCAGACTCCACACAGAAAGGCAGCTGGGCGGAGTGGAACCCAGGACCTTCTTGCTGTGAGGCGACAGTGCTGACCACCACCACCGTTTTTATGGATTAGCTTTTGCTAAATTAAAGTTCCAAATTATATAAGATCATGATGGTATTAGGTTTGCTAACTGAAGAGTTTATGTTTAAGGATAGCAAAGGAAAGACAATTGCTTAAATCTGATATGCAAACAAATGGAACAAAAAGCGCCTTTGAGTGACCAAGTAAATGTATAAATCAATTTTCATTTATTACAGTTTTCATTAATTTTCTATTGGGTCTATTGTGACTTAATATTAACCCATAAACTAACTTACTATTTTGACTGACCAAATTAAAAGTTAAGGTTATAGTTAAAGGTTTTTATTGTCATTGTTGTTAAGCACAAAATTCTGTTTGGTAGCATGTCATCATGTCATGTTACGTCACGCCATGGCAGTAAACAACATAAACAATGTACAATGTACAAATAATAAAATAAGTGAAACATCACTCAAGATAAAAAATATTATAAAAGGAATTAAAATGTTGCTGAAGTATAAAAGTATAAATAAAAATATGATAAAATGTGCCTGTTTGTTAATGCCTGTAATGGCAATGACTGTAAAAGTCCCCTAAAAGTATTTTGTGACAATTTAAAATCAAGTAATATCCTCTTTCTACCTCTTCTAACACACGTGAAGACATATTGACAGACACATTGTCTGTGAGTTTTTCCTCTTTAATCTGACTCAGTTTTTTACGACAAGACGGCAGAGAGTAAACCAAAACCAAAGTTATTTTGATTGGTTTTTGTTTTTGCATCTAGTTGTTTGTGTCTAGTGACCCCTCTACGGTCCCCTCATGGTAAATTCATGTTGGAACGTGGGGTGCTGACCCTCCGGTTGGTAACACATTGTTGCCAGCAGTCTCTCATCGGAATGCTGCAGTTGTCACTTAGCAACCAAAACGACCCAACACACCAACCACCAATTGGCTTAGAAAGCCGGAATGCAAACAATAATAACATGATCATCACACACATGTAGACTGGCTCATTAGGTACATCAAACCAGAAAACCAGGAAACCCAAAGGCAAATCAGCTGAATGTCAGACACAGCAGATGGCCAGTAGTTTCTGGGAGTGGCTTGTTGCTGTCTGGATGTTTTGTCTAATACTAGTGACAGGATTAACCGTCCACTGTTTTGTACCACTGAATGAACTTTTCTGTGGCAACTTACACTCTACCTGCCCGGATGAGTCATTAACACGGTCTGCCGGTGTGCAACGTTTTTCTCTATGGCAGTATGTAGGTTTTAATTGTAGTTCCTTAAGATAAAACAGTGTGTCCACTTCTCACCCTTAAACAGAAAGAAGGAAACAAATGTAAATATGTGCATTGAAAAAAATATCATAAATACACCAGTGGATGGGAAATAACACGACGTTCCTAAAGTCCCAGAATCATTTTTCTTTAAACCATTTGGCAACCATTTGGTGGACTGGATTGGTGAATTGAGAGAACTGCTGGACTGGAAATGAGTTTATCCAGTCTCGCGCTCGGATGGAAAAATGCGTCCAGTCCACGTGTTCCACGAAAAGCCATCCCCTCAGCTGCTCAGAAAAGGTGTGTCACCGGCGTGACGTCACGCACGTACCTGAGTTTCGGTGAGGAGAGGAGAGGGGAGGGGAAGGGCCGAGCCGGAGCGAACAACAACAGCTCTTCCCAATCCTCCAACAATCATTTGTTGTTATTCGCACCTGCCTCAGTCCCAGCTAACATCGGCGATATTTTTTTCTTTGATTGAATATTCGGTAGTTTGGAGCTGATTTCCAGCTGTGCTTCCAGCTGCGGGAGAGCAGGCCGACGAGGAGAGGATTCCGCTTCCTGGTTTGGCGACAGGTATGTCTCGTTCTGTTTGTCGCGGTATCGCGTTTGGTCGCTTTTATTGTTAGACTTTTTGGATCTATTCCGCCGTGTATCCACGTTTAAATAAATGCCGACCTGACGTGCACCGTGTATCCCGTAAGCATGTGTGGATATATGACGTAATATTTAATCAGTAATGGTTAAATAAGCCAAAGGTCATTCTGCCCCGGTCAAAAATGTGTCCGTTTTTAAAATGTTTCTTTTAGTTCTCGTGCGCTGAACTTCTCCAAAACTCCCGGGAGCCGCCGACCGCGTGACCCCCGCCGGTGTGTGTCGTCTTCAGCGCCGGGATGGCGGTGACCCCGCGGCGGGTCCGCCTGAAGCCCTGGCTGGTCGCTCAGGTGGACAGCGGGCGGTACCCGGGCCTGGTGTGGATCGACCGCGAGGGCATGCGCTTCAGGATCCCGTGGAAACACGCCACACGGCACACGCCCCAGCACGAGGACGAGGACACCATATTTAAGGTGAAGGAGAAGGTCTATTACAGGAATGTAATCAAGCGTTCGTCCACCACGAGGCACAGTGTCACAACGTGTACATTGTTCACTCACGTTTTCTGTACTCAATATTTTCAATTCCACGTTCAAGTGAGGTTTATGCTGGTTGATTTATTTTTTAAATAGGCTTTAAAAAAAGAAGGGAAAGTAAAAGCCTTCCATCTCTGGTTTGGACACTGACTTCCTCTCTAGCCGTAAATGTACAGATGCTTCATGAAGTGTTTTGGGGTGATGGGTTGATGCCACATGGCCTTGGATATTTCTACCTCGCATAGTACATCAGCTGCCCTTGCAAGAGTCTTAAATGTTACAATGTTAAATTTGATACTGATAGCTCTGTGAACGTTCCTCCAGGCGTGGGCCGTGGAGACTGGGAAGTTTCAAGAGGGAGTTGATGAACCTGATCCTGCAAAGTGGAAAGCTCAGCTTCGATGTGCCCTGAACAAAAGCAGAGAATTCAACCTGGTCTTCGATGGCACCAAAGAGATTCCCATGAATCCTTTGAAGATCTATGATGTCTGCGACATCCCAATGCCCTCCATTAACCAATGTAAAGAAGAGCTGGTTCAATATCGTCATACGTTACAAACTGTTCTTCCTTTCACATTATTCACATTTTTTGTAATACTTACCCAACAGCCTCCTCAGATGCCGGTTCTTGGACTCCACATGAGGACGATGGTGTTGAGGAGGAAATTCCAGATACCCCAGAATCTCTCCCTCCATATCCATCCAACGGTGAATGCTTTCCCCTCACGCATTCTGCATGTTTCCTGGCAGTAAATCAAAAAAGCAAATCGACAATCTTGGGTTTCTGTTTCATTGTTTTCTCTTTCCTCGTTCAGGCACCAGTCCCTCCCCTCTAATTATGTGGTCTCCAAGCTCCGAGTCGCAGCCTTCCAGTTGTCCCCCTTCAAATGAGGTCTGGCCCAAAGAGGAGTCGGTTGAAGTTTGGCCCAAAGAGGAGCCTGCAGATGTGGAGATGCACCCAACTCCCATGTTGCCTCCTGCACCGCTGCCCGACCACTCAATGCAACCGCATCCGCATATAACGGACACCTTTTTCGCCTCTCCAGAGATGTGGATCAGTTCCCTCCCGAGTAAGCACTTCTTCTAGTTGTATTGATATCCAGTGAACACCACACATGATTAAACGGGAAGATCACTGCAAAGGACAGACTTCTTTTTATATATCTTCCTGTTCCTGATTCAGTATATTCAGATAGTTTAGTGAGTGTGGGGATTGCCACTTTAGCTCAACCCAATCTCAATCTTAGGTGTGTGTGCGTGCTGCAGCCATAGTGGTATTAAAAAGCATTGCTTGATTTGTTCGTCAACCATGTTTTTAACCCGTGCCTCTGACCCAGTGACCGACCTGGAGGTGCAGTTCCATTACAGAGGGAAGGAGATGTGTCCCATGGCGACCGTCAGCAACCCGCAGGGCTGCAGGCTGTTCTACGGGGACCTCGGCCCCATGGTCAACCAGGAGGAGCTGTTCGGGCCGGTGAACCTGGAGCAGCTACGCTTTCCGACCACGGAGCACATCACCAACGACAAGCAGAAGGTTTTCACTAACCGCCTGCTGGACGTGATGGACAGAGGCCTCATCCTGGAGGTCAGCGGTCACGATATCTACGCAGTGCGTCTGTGCCAGTGCAAGGTGTACTGGTCCGGTCCCTGTGCTCCAAATCCAGCGGCTCCGAATCTTATAGAGCGCCAGAGGAAGATCAAACTCTTCTGCCTGGAGTCTTTTCTCAGTGGTAAGTGGAATCCTGACAATTAGTAAAGAGAAACCTGCGCGTGGATTCCAATATGATTATAGTCTTTGAATCACTTGGAGAAAAAAAAAATGTAATCTCTCGGAGGGAATTCTTATTGTATTAAGTAAAAAACGTTTTCATGGTTTACAGGAGTAATAGCCCACCAGCGTGGCCAGACGCCAAGCCCTCCTGGCTTTGAAATTAACCTGTGTTTCGGAGAGGAGTGGCCTGATGGGAGACCCATAGAGAGGAAACTTATCATGGTTCAGGTGAGAATCGTTGTTTGTGTCAAGAAGTAATAATAATAATACGTTTTGTGGTTGTTAACGGGACGACCGAGGCCAGTAACGCGCTTCACGTCATCCCTTTGATTGAGAAAGCTTGGAAGAAAAGTTAACACCGTAAGATTAGCAATCTGCACGGAGATATTTTAAATCCCCAAACAATATTTAGCCTGTTAGATGCAAGACAATTAGCCGCACTCTTTTCCCAGTTCCTGACGCGCTGTCCCTCTTCCGATCCCACAGATCATTCCTGTGGTCGCCCGCATGATAAGCGAGATGTTTTCCGGAGACAACACGCGGTCCTTCGACAGCGGCAGCGTTCGGCTGCAGATCTCCATTCCAGATATCAAAGACAACATAGTTACCCACCTGAAGCAGCTGTACTGCCTGCTGCAGACCCACCAGGGCCAGGACGGCTGGGCGCTGCCCCCTGGTGCCGGCTTGAACATCGTCCAGGCGCTGCACAATGGCACAGGCACAATAAACTAAACGTATTACGCAGCGAACCAACATGTGACACGCACGTCAACGTAGGACTCACACTGCTAGCGGGAGTTACCCACCGTTGGCCAAGAAGTACATGCGTGTAATGGTGTTTAGAAGTGTGCACTCTGCACTGTAGGAGTCTTGTGCTTTTCTCTAGTAATGTTCTCAAGGCGTTTCTGTATATAAAGCAGTGCCCTCAATCCTGCATCATTGTGTGTGTGTGTGTGTGTGTGAGTGTGTGTGCAGGTACAGATAGACCGATGTGGCGCCTCTATTGGCCAAAGTCCTGCTCGCCGACATGAAACACGTTGCATAGTTAATGAGTTACAGGAATTTGTCAAACTGGTCAGTGATTACCAAACTTTCCTGGAGTCAAGAAACGGCGCAGAATACCTTTTTTATCTTATGACCTAAAATATGGCTATATATATATATATATATATATATATATATATATATATAATTGCCATATTTTGTAAAACATGTGATTGTTATGAATAGATGCTAAAATATTAATTAACGTATGACTGCCTTTTTCTTCTATTACTATTTAACAGCCCATCTGCACTCAGTTTTCTGGTCGACTGGCCTGCGGTTTTGTCTTCAGTTTTTTTTTTTTTGTCATTAATATTTTAAGGTCATTTTTGTATTCACATCTTTTTTTTGTTTTTATTTCATTTATAATCAGGAAATCATTAGACTAAACAACATTCAGCTATTCTATTATGATCTGGTTTGATATTGATGTCACTGCATTGCTAAATCATGATTTACATTCAGTAGAATTTTTTGTCTATTATGATTTATATTGTCAATAAAAAAAAAAGCACAATTAACATGGGTGTTTAATGAATTACATTTTGAACACGGTGAATTAAAGGAGTGAAATATATCGTCTTTGTGCATCGCCTTGTACAAACTGTTCAAGTTGACTGGTGTGTTCAACGTCTCCACACAGCGACGCCTGGTGGTTTAGTTCATCAGCAGCTGGTTCTGGACGAGAACAACACTGAATAATTGGGGTCTGAGGCCTGACAAACAGTCATAGCGCCACATAGTAGTAACAGGAAGTCTCAACACTTTGGCTCGCTTGTCTCAGCGGGTGAATCACATCAACAGTATTTTAGTTCCACACAAATGTAAGTTTTCCTGGTACTGCGCTCCAACAAACTCCCTCTAGGGAATTAATCAGGTCAACGTCAAATGTGCGAAACACAATCTAGACACCGTAGCGATTAAAAGAATCAAACTCCACGTTTCACGGCGGACACTTTATGTCTCACCGTCATACGTCAAGGTTTTGTAACTCAACCGTACTTGATCCAAACTGTTCAAACTACCACATGCTTGAAGAGATTCATGGCCTCCAATCACAACTCTCAACAGTACCTACTTGCATCTGTCTAAACACTGAACGTCTTTAAATGTTTGATGGGCAAACCACCAAAAAAAAGACTACTGATCTAAATGTGAGCAAAGTAGGATGTTTGGAAAGCACAAAATGGATCATAACAGTTAACATTACACCACTAATGCTAAATAAGATTAATTGTACTGAAAGCTGCTCACAGCACGGCATGCCGGCACAACATCAAATTCAACCCTAGACAGAGTGTTGTCGTGATGACGAACCAAGAAAGATCAGAAGCTCAGTGTTCCTGCGAGCCAAGAGCTGAACGCGTTGCACAAAGTCACCTGATGGATCGATGTTGTTACCGTTGGTTCATTACAGACCTAAGGAATGTGTTCTGGTTAATGTTTTGCAGTGCGACATTGTCTTCATAAGTGATCATTTTGAAAGACACATTAAAGCATTTAAAACGGTATTTTGAATAAAATAAAGCCAACTCAAGTATATTGTGAATAAACATCTATATATATATATAACTCAAAAATTAGTACAATAAAATAGTAGAGTTACAAAGATATGACACGTTTGGAAACAAAGTCAGTTATGGTAGATATAAACACTGCAATGCACCTTTCTCTCGGTTCTTTATAGACATTGTAATTTAATTTACCTGTTGAGTTAGAGGCAGTTATCTTTGATGGAAAGCACACATTGTGTGGTTTTCATGACATCCTGGGAAAAATGACAAAATGCAGACAGGACCCTCAAATGTATTTATAGATCTGAAGAGCTTTAAGCATATCCGGGGTAATTTCCTCCATATCTTTTAACCTTTGCTCAGATGGGACGGCACCCTAAAGCCCTCACACCCTTCAGTGAGTTGACTCAGAAGCCCCGGATCACTTTGCGAGGGACAGTGGACTTTGTCCTTCTCCTTTGTGAGGAAGTCCCGGTTGTTTGTCATCGACTGAGGTCCAAGAACGAGGTATGAGTTGTATTTTTACTAAATAACAAAACAGTATTCATCTACCAGATGTCAAAGGTAAGAACTTTTGAATCTGCACAATGAACCGGATCTGTCTTTATTATTATATACTTGATCTATACGTAATGTTGCTACGTGTTTGCATTTCAAGTAACACAATTCGAACAAACTACATCACCACAATCTTGCTTTTATTCCTTATAGTGAAGGCAGTAAACCACCATTTCACCTTACTTTATCTCCCACAGGCTGCTGGAAGTATAATAAAAGCAAACATTAGCAGGCTAAATATCAGTAGATTTAAATCTATTCAGAGAACATTTTATTTTTAGCTTTCGGTGTAAATATTCTTCATCAAGCAGTGAAAAGATCTTAAAAAAAAGGTTTAATTCCAACATTTTTATAACTCTTCTGTCTTTCTATTAAATAAGTTAACCTTTCAAACAGCTTTTTTGTGGGACGAATGTTGCATTTGTTATATTTTATTGAACGAGATAATAAAACCTTTTTATTTTAAAATACTGTATCTATATTTGTGCTACCTAGTACCATGAAGATATTGTTGTTTTAGGTTGATCACTAAGCTGTGTTGCTAGGTGACTATAACAAGACCTGCTTTTTGATTTATGGCCAATAATCAAGGTGTTGTTTGAGCAAAGGCTAATTTTGCTCTTGACATTTATGGAACCTGTGTTTTCTCAGTTCAAACTTAACAAAACTCAAGATGTTTAAAGCTTTGAATAAACCCTGATGGCATGAAAACTTTAGCCAAATTAAATGATTTACTTCAGAGGTTGCTGACACAGCTCATAGTACTGACTTTAGAGATTTATTGTGTATATAACTTGTGTGGCAGGTTTGTCAGGGCGGTGCTGAACATGTTCAGGAGTAACAGCCCCTTTGGAAATGACACCAGCAGCTTCACGGGATCGATCCAGTCCAAGTACGGTTTTCAGAGCCTCACGTCGATCGTTTTATCCACGACTTTATTCACCGGCAGATGATTTTGCATTTTGTTCTCACAGTGGTTTCTCTTTGGATGAGGTTTCCTCCCAGTTCTCAAGTGTGTCGAGGCCCAGTGCAAAGTCAATTTATTGTAAGTCAACAGCGATGTGCTCAACGCATGTGATGGTTACACTTGTTGCGTTCATCTTCGTGACTAACACAGAGCTCTGGTAATAATTAACAGTGCAGAGGATGGAGTATGCAGAGTCAGTCAACAAGATGATGAACACATTTCAGTACAGAGTGGAGGTACAACATTACCCGTACAAATGGGACAGTTTCTGAATGATGCCATGTTAAAGGCTGTGTTTTAATACCTCCCTGCGGCCGCAGCACTTGTTCACTTGTGACCTGGATGGGAAGGGGTTGAGAAGCGTGGCGGACTGCGTGGAGAGGCTGAAGCTGCTGGACGGGATGGGCCGCGTGTGGGGTCAGAACATGCAGTTGGAGGTGCGAGCTGCCAACCTGCTGCTCACGGACATTGAAACCAAGGTGAGCAGCGCTTTAGGCGCACAGACAGGCAATGGGGATCGTCTCTTCCAGGATGACAATGACATAACATGTTGTACATGTTATGTCATGTCACGTTCTGTAATGTCATGTTATGTCATTTCCATTTCTATCAACAGATACCAACTCAATTGTATACTGTAGTATTATGTTTGAAAGAGTCAAGCAGCGTCTTCTAGAGGAGGTTAGAGATTGTGATTGAGTTCTCTGACATAGTTTTATACATAACAAGTCAAGACTTTTTTAGTTCTCTCCTAATGGTGTACCCCAAGGTTCATTCCTGAGCCCCATTTTTCTCTGTCTGTACATGCTGTTGTATTATCTTTAAACTAAACATTGGTTTCCACACACAGACTAAGGCTGTTGCTTCATAAAGCAGATTATTTTAAACGGAGACTTGTATCAGCTTTGAAAGGCAACCCAATAAAGTCCTATTAAAACAAGGGAATAGATCAAAAAGCACAAAAATATCCTGATAAAACAGGACAAAACTGTAATTTCACCTGCAGCCTCCTGAACATTTGTGAACACATTAAGAAATGGGTTTTACCATTTTCGGAGAAAATTTCAAGCTGCACTGCTCCTTCTTTTCATTAGAAACTTTAGCCATACTCAACCAGAATGTATTCACTTTTACATTTTCTTCTTTGTGAAGAATGTCCAATAGCAGCTTTGGGTGTGAAAATAGGAAAATGAAAAGTTTGATCCTTTCGATTATCAACATGTAGTATCTGAAGCTAAGGAGCATTGGAGCTTCATGGTGTTGGAACACTGGACAAATACAGACTTTTGTCTTTGTAATTCTATAGATAACAGTGGCTCCCACAGAGACGATCATGAGCCTCACCTTGAAGATTCTGTGCAGAGAAGTGCGCCCCGGGCTATGTGTGTAAAAGCCTGCTCTGTTTCCTCAGGAGGAGCTGGAGTCCATGGCTTTCAGCGACATCCTGGACCTTCAGGCTGTGCTCGACTCTGGAGTGTTTAAGTCCCTGCTCACAGTGTCGGTGCGGCCTAAGGGGAAACAGACCACCACCGTCTTTATGTTTCAGTGTGAAGAAGTCCGGGTGAGGACACACTTGTGGAAATGATTCTTACCGTGACTGTTAAATAAAATAAACGGGGCGATCACAGTCGTCTTGGTTGTTGTTCTTCACAGGCGGACTACGTCCAGAGGGATCTGCTGGGAGCGTTGTCTCGTATGAGGTAAGAACTTAAAGTGGGAAAGAAACTCCTGAAACCTGATTGATTCATTTTCATTCCCCCAAAATGCATTTCTACACCTTTTGAAGCAGCAATGCAGGACTAATAGCAGGACAGCAGGGAATGAAAAACCTTCATAACGCTGCAAAATCTAATGAACCTAAAGAGCGGAAGCTTGTTGTTGACTCAGAGCCCCAGTGGATGGCTCCCGACTATGGTGAGTGTAAATAACTGTAACTGATATCATAAATGATGTAGTCACAATCAACAGCTATCTCCCTTATACTTCTTCCATATAGAGGAGAATTACTTCCTGGAGCCTGAACTGGTTGTACCTCAGAGGGGGGAGGAGGAGGACGAGGTCCCATCGCCGCCTCAGTCAATCAACAAAGAAGAACCTCGTTCTACCTCGCGGCCGTACACCGACCTGGACAGGAACGTAGTGAGTGCCTGTGATACAGTTGGTTATGAGTATGTTTTCCACAATTTTGGTACAATTTACAGGAAGAGGATTGTCGTAAACGACTTCTTTCTTTCTTTGCAGGATATCTTGAATCATGTTTTAAGTGACATAGAAATCTTCATGGCCAAAGTAACTGCAATAGTAGCTAAAAACACAAAGAAAAAGAAGAAAAAGAAAAAAGGAAAAGGTAATTTGGTGCAGAAAATTAAGGAATATACACGCCTGTATCTGGACTATGTAAAGGGATATATGTCTATGAAAAGAAATCAATCAGCTGTGAGTCTTCATCAAATATTTATTTCTGTTTGTTAGCCATGGACGGGATGCCGCCTGCAGCAGAATTTAAAGTGTGTTTGCATAAAATCAAATATGGTTTCAACCTTGTGGTATGTGTCCTTAATCCCATTCATTTGCTATTCCTGTTCACTCTGTAGTGCCGACTTTGTGTAACGGTAAAATATTTGCCTTGACAGGGGGAGCTAAACGGAACGATTGATAATCCCAGTGCTCCTGACTTTGTTCACTCCTTATTCTCCACGTTATCATTCGTAAGTGACATCTCTGAAATTGCTCTTGAAAACCATAACGTATGATTTTTAGGATTTATAATCCCTGCTAAATAGACTTGAAAATACACCTAAAACCCTGTTCTCTTGCCTTCTCCTTCGAAATAATGTTTATGTACGTAGGCTTGAACATGTCTCATGGACATCCAGTTTATTTGTGTATTTGTCAGACAGCTGTGTCTGTTCATATGATTGTGCGTGCAGACCTGCAGTTCCAATTACACAACCACTGCACCTCACAGAGAGTTATGCTTTTCCTGCACAGCTGCTGTCTCACTGCGCAGACGATCTGCCTGAGACCATCGTGGCCCCTCTGCTGACGCCTCAGAGCATCCGGCTCCTGAGTGAAGAAGCCTCTGCAGAGGAGGACAAGCTGTGGCAGTCTCTAGGAGACGCCTGGAACATCCCCAGGTGAGACACCGGACGGCGTTGGACCAAGGTCTATGAAACCGTAAAAGTATTTTTACTTTACTCCAGTCTTTTCACTTCAGGAAAAGGAAAACATGCTTTTGCCTGCACTACATTCATGTGGCAATTAAGGAGATGAAGATTGTTCTAAAAAACATACGAGAAGAGTATTATTTACTACTTATTGTCAGATATTAAACATATTCCTGCTCTTTTGTGAAATAGGGGCCCCGTGTAAATAGTTCAGATGTCAATGTATTGTTGGCGTTTCCACTGAGTATTTCCCCATGAAACGTCTCATTTAAATCAACTGTTAAAGATTCCTTAAATGAAATATGCCGTACTTGTGACCGTTTTGAGGACAACCGCTGAACTAAACCACCTGAGTGGCCATGAAAGAAATGGGTTCTCTGGCTACTAAACTATTTCTGTGGAATGAGTACTTTTACTTTGTAAACTATTGGTTTACTCAACCAGGATTCTGAATGCCAGACTGGAACCTGTATTATTTTTCTGACAATATCACCAGCACCAAATGGCCAGAAGCCGACGAGGACATCCCGACGTACACTCTGGAGTTTTCTGACGGCTGGCAGCCTCCCGATGTGACTGCTGCGCCTGAATCTTATGAGCCAATCAGAAGGGAGGAGCATCAACGACCTGCACCCAGCCGGGTCGACCGTCACCCCGAGCATCCAGTACGACGCCGGAGCGCTGACAGACTGCTAGTTTGGGCAGAAGAAGGAGAAAGATGAAAAACATAACAAAACCATGTTCTTTTTTCTGTGTAGACTTCTACCAAGTGGACGCCACCGCGCCCCCCTCCACAAAAGTCACGGTACGCACGAGCACGTGAGGTTTAACCCAACGTCCAGCGAATGTTTGCCTGTTTTTTCTTTTACACCCTTTCTGTATTTCAGCTCAGATGAGTCGAAATTGCGTAGCATGCTCGTTACGAATGACTTCATCTCAAGAAACCAGAGAGAGCTCACCGTCAGAAAAGGGGAAACGGTGGAGGTGAGTTAGTGACATGAAGCAACTGCTCTTTCTGATCTATCTTGGTTGCAAAAAAAAAAGAAAACCAAACAACATGCCCCGTGTTTTGGGTCTTTTTTCTTTGCCCGTCCACAGCTGCTGGACAAGTCGAAGCTGTGGTGGAAGGTGAGGAACAGCAGAGGGGAGGAGGGGTTCGTACCCAACAACGTCCTGGGGGCTCCTGAGGAGATGGACACCGCTAACGCAACACAGGTAACTTTGAACGTGGTGTTGAGGGAAGTCAAGAAGGTCACTGCAGGATCCTGGGACTGACGGTGAAGGAAAGCTGCAGATACTCAGTGAATGAGTATTTTCTATTCCAGGCATAGGGACATGTGTCACTTGACTATGACTTTATCTAATTGAATGAATACTGTGTATAGATATAAACTGTGTGTATATATAGTATATTTATACATCTGTAATATGCCTTTGAGTTTCCATCCTTTTGTTTCAGTAAAATCCCATTTCATCCTCATTCCATTTTCTCAGCATACTGGAGGCGCTCCTGTCCTCACAAAGAAGTCCAGGCCGGCAGAAGTGAAAGCCTGGCTGGAAGACAAGGGCTTCAGTAAAATGTGAGTTAGTATTCATTCAACATTCAGAGTTGAGCAATAGATTACAATTAGTATATAGAATGTGGTGCAATATGAGGATAGATTGTTACCTAAACTGTACATAGTTGTATGTAAACTTCATCACAGGTCGAGGCCATGACTGACTGTAAGATGATGATTTCAGCTGAATAATATGTTTTATGTTTCTAACTACTGTGTCTGTGTTTTTCAAATGAACTTCAGCAGCAACTTCAAGTCCCTGCACTCAACCTGCACACATTGCATTTTGGTCAAGTAAGCCAATCGGATAATGTATTAACAGCGGAGGAACGTGCCTCCTCTCTTGCAGCACGGTTCGCTGTCTGGGGGGGCTGAGCGGCTCCATGCTGCTGGGGATGACCAGAGAGGAACTGAAGACCGTGTGTCCAGAGGAAGGGGGGCGGGTCTTCTTCCAGTTACAGGCGGTCAAGTCCGCTGTAAGTGACTCACACGGCGCAGCTTCATGTGTCTCCGCTCCATAGTGGCGTAAACACAGAAAGCCCCTCTGACTGTTTTGTGTTTCAACATTGTAGATTTCCTTTTAAAAACAAAGAGAGAGACCAACGAGAGGACACCAGAGGAGGAAAAGAAATCACGTGGGCCGAAACAAGTCACCAATGTCACCAAATACTCTCAAATTCAGCAATAAAAAGCGAGGTAGTTTACAGCTGGTTTGCCATGATATGGAATCCTATGAAACTTTGTAGCAAATAATATAAATGTCCTTTAGAAGTGTATATTATTTTCCATCTGGCATAATTCAAAAATGTTAACAACTGATTAAGTTATAGCAATACTATATACTATACTACTATACATACTATGTAAGTATTTAGCAAAGTGAATAAGTTGTATAACACAAAATGGGGAAAAGCAAATATCCTGATGTATGTGGTCATAATTTAACTTGTAAATAAAAGTTATCGAACAAAGCGTTTGCGTGACTAAACATGCTTTATTTCATTGTTCAGACATTACACGTGAACCTTTTCAGAAGCATCCGCTGAACACCGGCAATCCATTTCAGGCAATAATATGGCTACGGGTCTTTAAAATTAGGAAATTAAAGATACTTTATTAGAAAAATATCAGCTGAACAAAAAGAAATATCTCAGGTCAGGTGAGCATCAGAGTTTGTTGAACAATGCAAAGTGAAGCTGGTGCGTAGAAATATATCAATGTGAACTATAAATCTGTTCTATTTAAACATTTCCTTTGTTTTTGTATTGGCATCCAAATAATCACTTACTTCTCAGAAAGAAAATGTATCTTTAAATATCCTTGGCTTCCTATCTCATTTCAATCACTTCTTGTGCTCAATTATCTACAGGGATCGATTAGTTAATCGTCAAAAAGATGAAGCAACAAGTGCTATGATCGCTTCTTAAATATGAAACTGCATGTGCTGCTTTGTCTTAGTTATCTATAATACGAGTGTACTAAAAAAACTATTTGAATATATCAATACACAGAATATTGATGCATTTTTTCATAGTTTTATAAACAAACAAATACAAATAATGAGTGAGTAAAAAAACAAGGCTGCCTTTTAAAATGAATCATTTCAAGACACTTATGAACACATCTGCGGTAAACAAAGACACAAAGTCGTGCTTTTCTCCGATTCTTTGTGAAATAACTTAATTAAATCATCAATTATGATCAATTAACAAGTTGGTTGAAAGATTTCAACGACTGTTAGTCAACTAAAAAATGTCTGTGGTGGAGTACAGCCCTAGAACATAATCGTTAGTTGGAGTGTGCTGTTGCTAAGGACAATGTGACAACCTTCTGTGGATAAGAGATGGACGGGTGGAAACAGTGCAGGTCAGATTCTAATTGTCCTTGAGTCCTTGATCAAACACTCCTCATTTCCATAGTTACCTCAAAAAATCAATATGGCTGCTAAAGATTCACAAAATGAAATGCCACTAATAGAATAAAGCTGCAATACTAGGACATAATTATCCTCTGTGCTTCCGTCTATGGACTCATGCTATGGGACAAGTCAGTGTAGATCAATGGTTGCAATTAGTCTTAATAAATCTATCAATCAGAAAAAGACAATTCTATTGAAGTGAAGTTTTTATGTGTGTGTAGGTTAGTGTACCGATCATGGTGCTATTGAACAATAATAAATAATTAACTGACAATGATCACGAATAAAAAAATGATTAGTAAAGAAAGTGACTGTAAATAATAACACACTGGACAGATATTCAAATATTAATTGATTAAGAAAGAAAGAAAAAAAGAAAGAAAAACGACAATAAAACCGCATTGAAAAACTATTTTCATGACTTAATGCTAATAGACGATGATTAATGGCAACAAAACTAAGTCATAAACCTCAACATCAATATAGTGTGAATATAAAATCTTTTATCTCTATATCCCCCCTAAAAAAATACACTTTATACATGAAATCCAACAAACACGCACATGTGAGCATGTCCAGCGCACAAGGGGGCGTCCCTTGATCACACGGCTGCTGTATTCGAGACATCTGTCTGATTCCGATGTGTGTTAACTGCATCTCCGTTTGAGAAGAATGCTCTCAGTTTGATGGGCAGGTGGAGCGTGTCCATCGGCAGGTCGAGTGATGCGACCACATGACTTTGGACGGGATTTGCGGGTCGAGTCCCTGACTCGGTTAAGATGCTTTAACGTTACAGCTCGTTCTCTCCTACCCTCATTTGCTCATGCACGCATGCGCATTCACAACAACGACAACACAAGTCAATTTTCCATGTCGAGCGAAGGCTGAGGTCAAAAGCTATTAGACACCGAGCATGCAGCCGGGTGGTTTCAGTTGTATCGGTGCAGACGTTACGAGCACAGAGGCCTGCTGCACATGGCCGAGGAATAACAATGCTATGCATTTGACAAAGACCGAAACGGGGCATTTTTAGCCCAACGAGAGAAAAATGAAAAGGCACTGTGAAGCATCGGCTCGGGGCATTTGTACAGTGCACCGCATGCAGAGAGAGGACTTTCTATTTTGTCCATAAGGAATGAAGGAATGAGTGGAATTGGGTAGCAAAAAGGAGGACAGGGTCCATATATTTACAGGCATAGTGAGGTAACTTCTACAGTAACTTGCTGGTTCAATCAAACTTACTCGTGCTGCCCTTCAAATCTACTGTGCCGATTCCCCTTTTCATATCTTCTACCACGCAAGATGATTTCAACATTTAATGGATTAAGTCCGAGCTAAAAATAACTGTTTGCTTTGTGGAATGTGTGCAGCTGACCAACAGGAAGTTCGCCCTATGTTTCGAACTCAAAAGAGTTTCCCTCTTATATCTTACTTTCTGAGCTTGTTTGAATCACAGAGGAACGAATTAAATGATCGGAACGCACAATAAGCACAATGTATGGCGGACATTCAGAAGTCCAGCATTCAGACAGAAGCTTCATTGTCTTCTCTCTGATTCTGTTACTGTTCCTCTCTGAGTTTGAGCTAAAAACATGAAACCTGTCAGTTTTGTTTTGTTCGTCCAACCTTCACCTGCATTATTTCAATGAGACCACATATGTAATCCTTCATTATAATTCTGTGTAATAAAGATGATTGATACACTAGGGTTGGTTACGCAGCACGGCTTTATGGCGGAAGATAAGAGCAGGTTCGTAGTGAAGAAAGTTTAATGTTCTGGTTGTCAGTGTTTCTGTCAAAAAACACAGACAATACATGCTGTGTAATGTTTTTAGGTGAATCATGTTGCTCAATGAAATAATCTGAAGGCTTTTGGAAGGACAGGGTGGTTGTGGACTAAGAATAGAAGACAACATAAACCTGACAAGTGTGCCTCTGCTTGGTGGTCCCCTCTGCTAACCTTCCTGAAGCTGACTGAGACGGAACAGACTACAAGAAGAACAAAGGAAGAAAGAGAGGTTTAAAAAAAAAATCTGGGGAAAACAACTTCAACAACATTAATTGATTCAAACGCAGGGACGGAAGATTGTAGAAGCTGAAGTGCTCGGGCAGCTCTGCATCCTGGGCTTTTTGGTAGCAGTGTAACTTCTACGGTGATGGTTGGCGATGAACTGCCCCCCCACCACGTGTCTTCGGGGTCATGCTCACAGGGCAGGTCCCCGGCTCCCGTGACTTCAGCGTTGCCCCGGGAGAGGGCCCATGGACAGGGAGTCCTCCTCGTCGATGGTGTCCAGCTCTTCAGTGTGCACGGCCTGAGTGATGAGCTGAAGCTCCTCAGAGAGCGTCTCGCTGCGGTACGCCACGCGGATGTCGGGGACGTTGGTACGGCGGATGTCGTTGCTCATGGGACCCTCCTTAGAATAGTTGGGGCCCAGCCAGTAGCTTTTGGCCTGGAAATAAAAGGTAATAAAAAGCTTAGATACTAAAAACACAGAAAGACAAGCAATGACTGAGAACTCTTTTAGTCATTATTTTTAGATTCAGATGTCCCTACCTAGCTGTAAGTGAGTGTACACGAGCTGTTAGACAAAATGAATTTACCTTGTGTGAAAACCCACTCATGAGGACACTGTTTCTTGCCAGCTCACACATGTCACAGGAACTCAGTTTCCACACCTGAGTAGCGATGCTGTACTCCTCCATCAGAGGCTCCTGAATCCAGAAAAGGGGAACACACAGAGCCTCGTCAAATCTGACCGTTGTTTTGTATCGTCCGTCCTTAAATGTACAGTAGGTCATACTGAACCTTGGTGAAGTGGAACTGAAGGGGATCATCGGTGGACAGAGAGATCATCAGGCCTCTGGACAGGTACTCTGGCAGTGGGTTGCGATGGTAACTGAGGAACAGGCTGTTGTTACTAAGTGGTGACATGGCGATGCCAATCTGAGCCAGGTAGTAAAGATATTGCAGCACCGGCGCCTGATGGATGTCAAATAGAGAGAGAGAGAACATGTGAAGAAAAATTGATTCTTAAATCTATACTTATATAAGGCCCAGCAGTACCCAATAGTTTGTATATCGCTTCGTGCTTCCTAAATCATATAACGCTCCAATCCAATAGTCATGGACTTAAGCCTAGTTTATGCTTCTGCGTTTTCAGAGCGACGCAGATGCAAGACTCTTGCATGTCCCTTGCGTGCCTTTTCACACCTCCTTGCGTCCTTGCGTGTGTCGAGCCATTTTTCTAGGCTGGCGTTGCTTTCTCACATTGTCTCACATTTCCGCTTTTACAGCCTGATACCGCCATTATTAAAACGAAGAATGTTTACGACAGAACGGATCTGATTTAAGAACTTTTTTCGGAAGAAATGAGTAAATATGAGCACTTATACAAGCCGTCATTGGCGGGTTGTAGAAGCGGGTTGGATTCACGGAGGGAGATCGCCGCAAACACTGGTTTGCCAGTTGAGAGGTGCACAAAGTTGTGGAGGAAAATACGGGACAAATGTGTCCGCAATGAAAAGCAGCAGTGGCGATGCACGGGGCAATAAAGTCTATGATAATAAATAAACAAATAAATAAATAGACGTGACTCTCTAGGTCGTCTTCAACAAAAACATGTTACTCCGCCTGTTGTTCTGGCGGTGAATTGCTCTGCAACACACGCAAGCTTTTTACAACCCTGAATTGAAACGAGTGCGTTGACGCAACGAGGCAGGAGCATGTGCCAGCCTTTAAGCTTTCTGATGCCATCAAGTCTGAGAAAAGGGACGTGTCAACAGAGCTCTTTAAGCAAGCTTTCCTAATTGTTTTTCGAACACAGTGAGCATTTATACGAACAATGATATTACAATATGGTTCCATAGTCTTTTAGAAGCAACCTCCTGACCTTTCTGAGCAGCAGTCCATGGGAGATGTTCTCAGACAACATGAAACCTGACACCAGGTGGTGGATCGGCCCCGCCTCCCCGCAGTGAGGTCGCAGCACAAACATGCGAAAGCCTCTCTGCCTGTGTCAGTCAAAATATACCACATTTAAACAAAGGGATGGTCTAAGAAGGCTTAGTGTGCGTTATGAATGAGTCTGCTGGGCCACACCTTCGCAGGTGGTTGAGCACAGTCATGTTGGCATAGGTGTAGTAGAGGTAGTAGGAGTAAGGGGGGTTGTCTTCTTCTGTCCAGTTTTCTGGCAGCGGACTGTCAAGATTGAAGATGTGATGCTCAGGTTTGGACTCATCGTCCACGCTGTCAAAGCCCACCACCTGGACACACACACGCCAACAAACAGGGTAGAAGCAAACAGGACGACCAAGGAGAGTACTTGGATTTTGTTGTGCAGTGGCCCTCACGTGCTCCAGGAAGAGATGCAGCTCAGGGTGTTTGCGCGGGTTGATTGTGGCTTCAAACAGAGGCAGGAAGATATTCTCCAACATCTCCTGGAAATTAGCCAGCGTCTTCTTTGTTTGGTAAACATCACTGGAGAGGTAGGGATCGAACAGAGATATTAACAGAGAGTCTTTTGTCATTTTTACATGTACATTTTAAATGTAAGTTTAACTGTGGAGGCGAGAAGAGATTACCCATGTCTACACTACGAGGAGCATCGCTTAAAAAGGACACAACCTCATAAATTAGACAAATTTATTTTCGGTTTGTGTTGTCCCTATTTTTGACCTCTTTGCTTTGACCGGCGCTTGACAACAGTGCAGCTTCAACAAAAAAGTAAAGTGGAGGGATGACTCACAAAAGACGGGGCACCTGGATGAGCCAGCGCACGTTATCAGAGTACACGCGATGTTTGAGGGCCCACTTAGCCAGCTTCTCCCATTCGTCCCTGGAGCGTCCGTAGATGGACAGGCGCAGCTCAGAGTTCTGGTACTTACTCTCCTCCAGGTCGGACATCACCTCCTGGACAAATAGTCACCGGGGGGTATCAATGCATCTGTTTGTGTATGTATTGATAACGTGCTTGGATGATATAATACAAATACTTTAAATATGAATTACTTCATACCTTGACTATGTGTGCAAAGTATTTTCCTTCAATGCAGTTGTCAGTCTTGATGAAGATCTCTCTCAGGATGGATTCTCCGATGGGGTTGTATTTGGCGTTAAATTTGTCAAACCGATGGAACGTGTTACGGTCCTGATGAGTAAACCAAAACCTGTCAAAACCTAATTCTCATCGATATCAAACGTATTTCACACAATTCCTCAAAAATATTGGATTAATTTTGTTTTGTAGCACAGCTTTAGTTAGATACAGCTGCACCCTTTTCTATTTTCTTCCGTCTGTGTTGACCGGCGCAACACCGTGGTCATAGTCTGAAAAACAAACAGAAGAGACAATTGTCTCACCGCGTGCATGTCGAGTGTGTCTACACTCAGGTCGAAGGCCGTCAAGTTCATGCTCTCAAACACCTCCTTGAGGGTCTGGCCTCGGCCGCGCTCAATGTGGACGATCTCTTCTGGGTATTTCTTCATGGATCGCTTGATGAATCGCAGCAGGTGCTTCTGATTCATGCAGGATGAAGCATGTATGTGTGTGTCCACCTGTAGTTAGGGCAGAGCAGAAAATGTGAGTTGGAGTGGGAATGATCTCAAATAGAAGGGTTGGCTCTTACCTTTCGTATGTTGTAGAAGTCTCTATGTGGAACTTTCTTCTGCGCTGCCAGCTCCTTCATCTCATTCAGAAGAATGTGCATCTGGAATTTAGAGCTGAGGTACTGCAGGCGACGGTAGCAGAAAGACTTCCTGTTAACACCAGAGGAAACACAGGGACATTTCATTTAGAATTGACACACTTAGATTTTCCCCATGACATTTGTAGAATGGTGGCGTCAAAGGAACACTCACACTGGGCCATTGATAATGAGGGCCATCATAACATTCATGTCTTCAATATACTCTGTCAGGTCAGGATATGGCAGGTCCAGTTCTGTGCTCCTGAAAAGGAGAAGAGTATGACAGCCTCACAAGCAGAACACCTTTTGTTCTCATTAACATGCTGTCAGGTAGAAAAACCCACTTGTCCATGTTGGTCTTCTTGGAGTAGACGTGGACGAGTCCGCCCTCCATCTTGCAACCATATCCTGTGTCTGCCGGCATATTCTTGTGGTCCATGTCGTAGGGGTGTGTCTTTGAGACAGGTGGGTGAACGGGGGCATCTGGGGAAAATAGGAATTGATGTTTATTATGTTATATATACATGCTACAAAGATTTATTTTATATTATAAACAATGACTTGGTAACTGCCAAGATAAATGGGACACTCCTTTCATGAAGAAATGAATTTAAATGACTCAATATGTCTTTGAGATGAATCAACTCAAACGTTAAAATAGGTAAATCCCCCCCAGAAAGGACAGACGACTCAACCGGAATACCATTAAATGATAAATGTTTATCTAGTTGAATAAATGATAAGTAATACACAATACCATTACTGCATTAAATTATATAGTCATGTTTAAAGATGGTCACCTGTTGCCTGAATTTGGTCCTTTACATAAATGTCATGTTACATTGTCATACTGTGGCTTTGCGAAAGATAAATAAATGACTTGTTTTGGTCTGACTAACCATCCAAAAGGATGCTGTTATATGAAAGGAGCTAAAATGCTCTCATTTCGGCTAGTTTGCACAGCTCTGCCACTACTACCTGTGGTGTGTTCTGTGCATGTGTTGCCTTGTGTCCTTTCTGGTATACACTTCCTCATGTGCGTCTAACTGTAACAAAGTATGTTTGGAGTGTGTATGAGATACCAGCATCCACAGGGGTCTCGGCTATATCGTCATAATCGGTCAGATCCAGAGGCTTCATCCCGAGTTCCTGCAGGGCATGAGCCGTGGTCTTACAAAAGGATTGCATGGATCGCTTTATGTACTTCTCCCGTATGAACAGTGCCTTCACCACGCACTTTGCAGCATCTACCAGGTCAGTGAATGGCACCTGGGAAGATATGAATACACAGTAATGACAACGGGATTACCATCAGAGTTTAACGAAAATATAAAAATCACTCTAAAAATAGTTCCCCACCCCACACTTCTCTTCTCCAGATATTGACACCCGCTGGTATTCTCTCTCCAGTGGCAATGCCCTTTCCCTGAAGCCATCATCTACATCATCAAAACTCTTCTCCTGCATGTACCTTAAAGGAGGCAAACAGTAAGAAGGACACTTTAAGAGGGGCAGGCAAAAGTATAACAGATATAGAGATAGGCATAATGTGCATGTAAGCATATTAGTTCGGTATATTTTGAAACAATGGGTTTGGAAAGTATTCAGATGACTTTTAACTTTAATAAACCCAGACAGTGATTTCATAATTTGCAGTTTTAATAATACACATTAAAACCATTATTGAATATTTGATCACCAGTAGGTAACAGTTCTGTATATTACTTCAGACAAAGAAGTCAGATTGCAGAGTCTGTCTACAGGTAGTTTCAGTGGTTCAGTTTTTGAGGCAGAAATGAACTAAATAGCATCCAGACCTAATTTCAAATCATATGTGCTAAAGATTTCAGTGTTTTAATCTTAATCCATTTGCGAGCATCTAAAACATCTATGCCAGGGGGCACTGGTGTTCAAAAACCGAGGAGAAAAAGAAAATTTACTTTAAAATAAGTACACAATCTGAATAATTTTCAAATCCACTGTAGGTAAAGGGTAACAGCTAGTGAGATGTTATAAACTTCAATAATTAACTTACAGAGTTTCTAAGTGAGCAAGATGACTCAGGCTTCACAGCACATTTTATTATCAAGAAAACAGGGGAAGTCAAATCAAATTCCAAATATAGAGTTTACACTTTCAAAGTTGAGACACTTGTTGCCTTTAGAGAGACGAAAGAAAACCAATTACAAGGTTTGGATTCGTACATCTAGCCACCAGCAGGGGGAAGATGTGATCTATCCCAATATGCTGCTAGTATGTGAGGAGAAACGTGCTTTCAACAAACAATTCCTGAATACTTTTAAAAAGACATGTATAGTAATCATAACATTAAGGGGAGTGGCTGCAATGAACGATTCTAAAGAATATGAGCCCAATAGAGAATGAATCGCTACACAAACCATGCATACTGAAGCAGATCTCACTCACTCTAGGTCTGCAGCACTGTCGATTTTCATGAAGTCCTGTTTGGCACGGAGCAAAATCTCTGGCTCAAGCCTTGGGGGTATATGCAGCGGCACAGGATAGTGTGGGCAAGACAGGGGCATCGGAGGTAGTGAGAAGAAATTAAGCACACCAAGACAGAGACCAGATATATGCACACATACAATATACATACAAACAAGCACCCTCTCTCTCTCTCTCTCACACACACTGACATTTACATATACATACAAAGCATAAGGTATTAAGGGATGAAGAAGATTGGCACCAACAGGAAAATATCAAGTTATTAGTAGCCCACCCTGATATGTGAACAGGAGCTTGATGGGTAACCTGTAAGAGAACCACCTCGGCACCTGAGAACGGACCCCTCGCCACAATGTAGTTTAGCATAGAGGCAGATTGAAGACCAGAGCAGGTGCGATGTGCTGGCTAGCCCCACTAGCCGGTTGCTGAGGTTAGTTAGCCCACAAAACTTGCATGTTGGAAGCTGGTAAGCATGTGGGCATTGGTGAAAGCAAGACTAAGTGTAACACGTGTGGTTGGGGGAGAGCTGTGTCTGTCAGATTATGATGGGAGTTCATTGCACTGGCTTTGTGTGTTTGCATTTCCTCACTTAATGTCCTGGCTGATTTGCCTCTCCAGGCGGTGCCGTCGCTCCTCAAGCTGCTCGATGGGGCTGTCCTCTGGGAACTCGTACGGTGCGGTTCGCATCTCACTTTCTGTCATGCTGCGTGTGAACAGCTCCTGTTGTGCAAACATAGATGTATGGTGTCATAAAGCTGGAAAACAGATCAACTTCCATGCTGCCGGGGACAAATGGAGGACTTTGGAGCTCACATGAGATAAGAGTTATCTTTAAATGAAGCCGCCAAAACGTCAAGGCAGATACTGGTCGGATTTAAATAAGAAAACTTAAAAAAACTCTATTATTATTCTTGATTTTGCAGGTGAAGTACTTGCGTCAAAGGCCAACTAGACAATGTAGTTATTTAACATATTATTTATATTGTTATTGAGGATGTATTTTCAGAACTGACAAATTCTACATTCAAACAAATAGCAGTAACAGCTAATTCAAATATCTGAATGGCAGCAGAGCTGCTGGATGGATAATAATCAACAGAGCAGCTAGTTAAGAATATTAAAATTTTTACTTAGCTGTACCAAAAAACTTGGCTTTTAATTCCTACCTCAGCAATCTCTTTGTACTTCTCCTCCATGGATGTTCGCAGGTCGATGGGGTTGTGTGTGGCAGAAACAGGCGTCCCTGGGAGGGATCTCTGGGATTTGAGGGGCTTTGGCCCAGAAGCACCACACAGATCTGTGAGCAGACACGGTTAGTCAATTGTATAAAGAAATGTGAGCAGTAATAAAAGCACATTTGTTTGTAGTACATGCAAATGTTGTTATTCATGTAAAATGTCAGTAAAGTAAAGCTTTACTTTCTAATGAATATTGAATTAATCTTCTGTGTTGCGTGATAACGATCATATTTAACGACGTTGTCTCTTGTCCGCAAATTAACGCGGCCACTTATTTTGGTAAGTCAGATTCAGTAGAGTCACAGTACTTTCACTACCTGCTGACAAATGTATTCTTTAACATCTCGATGAATAGAGTCAATGGGAAAGAGACATATATCCATTTCACCTTTTACACACCGACTTCTCAAAATGCCATGTGTTATGTGTGTCTAGGCAAAGGCTGAACTCTCAGATTGATAAGGCCTGTGCTTCACCATGTGAATGTTTACTATTGAAAAGGAATTTCAATACACAATAGGTATAAATGGACCCTTTATCGCGTTCAACTCCTCACAGCGTACAGCCATCGTCATGAGCGACGTGAAGCAATAGACTGAACCCATTAAGGAAGGTAGATTCTCTGGGTGCTTTGCCGGCTCAGAGTTGATTCAATTCATTAAAAACTGTAGAATTTAGAGAAACAGCTAATACAAACATCCACTCGTATCAGTTCCTTTTATGATTCGGTCCCTTCAGTCACATTTACACATCCACACCAGTTACTAGAACAGTTTCTGAAACACACAACTGATCTCCAAAGACACAACTAAATACAGCCTAACAATAGTTTTCAACATTAAGAAACTTCCTTTGTTTCCTTCCTAGATGGACAAATCCGCCCATTAGCATCTGCACTGAGGACATCAAACAAAAAGACAATCGCAAACAGTTGCAGAATTAAACCGGATGCAAATAGTTCATGAACCCCTGAGAGGCCTTGAGCCGTGTCCGCACACAAGCTTAAGGACGGGCGGCGTATGAAAAGATTCTCTATCTCGACGATCACACACAGACCTGAACACACACTAGAGAATAAATACCTGACACTGTTGGGAATAATACAGAGAGGCCTTCCCCACTCTAGATGAGCCAGCTCCAGATTCCAGCCAATTTATTTGATCACATGTAGAGTGCAGAGATGATTTTCACATGAACAAGCAGCGTGCAGACAAACACAAAGAGTGTGCGTGCAATCCCCCTGCATGTCCACCACAGTCCCCCCGACTTTATTTATCTCAGCGTGGTGGACCTAAGGATAGAGCGGGTCGTATGGTGTAAAGCCTCCTGAAACACGTGGTATGGATTTAATTCCATTTGGGAAAATTGGCTATGAATGCAAAGCTGACTGGACATGTAGTACAAAGCACAAACAAACCAAAACAATAGAGGAAAATGCAAACAAACTAGGAGGAACTCACCGAACTACAAAATCAATCGCAGAGGAAAGCACCAGAATGAACCAATGATATTTCAAATATTCCTCAACTGACAAATAAAAATAGCCAGGAGAAGAGCGTGATTCATTGAGGTGATTTAAAATGTTTAAACAGTAACTAAGCAAACATGGAGAGTACTGTTTATTTTTCTTTCCCGTGTTATTAACAGAAATGTGTTGGTCCAACAACAACACAGCAGGCTGCTTGTTCTTGTGGCGGATCTAAACTGTGCGTCTCTTTTGGGACAACGCGTGTGGATCAACAGGGGAAAAAATAACCTCACTTACTTTTATTTGGCAGTATTTATTTTCAGCCTTTACCCTGTTATGTTGTTATTTTTTAAACCACTGTGCATCCAGATTGCACTCGAATGCATTTTGGCTCAGATGCTGTCAAACATGCCGAGGCTCCGGCCTCACCTCGCAACACGCCGTTTACTGCGTGAGTGCCTCTCTTCTATTTCAGAATGAATGCGTCAGCCCATCTATCTTCATGTAGTCATTGTGAGATCAGTGAGCAATATTGACAAAGCTCTCCATCTGAGCCTTCTCTCACATCCCTGTGACCGGAGTCTGCACGCCGCCCACATGAGTAACCCACTTGTTCCTTTGAACCGTGCCCGAGAGACAGACATTGAGGTTCTGTGGAGCTGCCTCTGCTCCATGAGGATCAATTCAATCTCCCCCCATTTCGTCCATGCAGGACGAAAGCAGCAGCAGACTAGTTTTAGCATCAGTGAACCACAAACATTGCACAGTTATGTCCTTGAAAATATTCCAGATGTCCTGATCAATGTCACCATGAAGCAAGGGTCTGTATGTAAGTGACCTTAGGGGTTTGCACTTCTTGAGAACTGATCCATCCGGCCTGACTGGCACTCTCCCCGACCTACAGAGGGCTCCTCAACCGCCAGGGCAGGAGTGTTGGAGGTGCGACACTGCAGACGGGGAGGGGGAACCGCCGGAGCCCCCTATGGAGACCCTGCTGGTTCCCGAATTACGCTCCATGGAAGATTTTCAACTGGAGCAGTCTCGTGTTGATACTCTACGCTTTGCCTTCGAAGTGATATGAATTGATGGTCAAATGGTGCGCCCCGACACAGCATTATTATACCCGCACTTTTCACTGATTAGGGACAGGCTATACAGAGTGAGTCGTGACACTCAAACAGGTCAGGAAAATGCCCAATTTCTGGTACCGAAAAGCCATCGGCAAATAATTTTCCAGGCAGGCCACATGGGTAGTGATAAAATGCTGGATCGGATAATAGCCCCATTTTACTGGCCAGGCATCTGGGCGGATGTGCGCGTCCTGCCCGCAGTGCCAGCTGGTTAACCAGCCGGCCATTCCGAGAGCGCCGTTGCGTCCGCTACCGTTAATGGAGCTGCCGTTCAAACTACTAGGTATGGACCTCATTGAGACATTTCACCGGAGCGCACGGGGGTATCGCTTTGTGTTAGTTCTGGTAGATTACGCAACCCGATATCCCGAGGCAGTGCCGTTGCGCAGCATCTCCGCCAAGAGTGTTGCGCAGGCGCTGTTTCAGGTCATCTCCCGAGTCGGAATCCCGAAAGAGATTCTGACTGACCAGGGCACCTTGTTCATGTCACGCACACTGCGGAAACTGTACGAATTACTGGGGGTTATGTCTGTTCGGACCAGTGTGTATCACCCCCAGACTGACGGCCTGGTGGAACGACTGAATAGGACGTTAAAATCCATGATTCGTAAGTTCATTCACAACGATGAACGCAATTGGGATTAATGGCTTATCCTCTGTTGTTTGCAGTGCGGGAGGTTCCCCAGGCCTCAACGGGATTTTCTCCCTTCGAGCTGCTGTTTGGCAGGAAACCACGGGGGGTGCTCGACCTGCTTAAGGAACACTGGGAGGAGTGTCCGAGCCCTGGTAAGAACGAGATTCAGTACGTCCTGGACCTGCGAGCCAAACTCCACACACTGGGTGAATTATCACGTGAGAATTTGCTCCAAGCCCATGAGCGTCAACAACAGCTGTACAACAGAGGGGCCAAGATGAGACAATTTACACCGGGAGAAAAAGTACTTGTATTGCTTCCTTCTTCTAGCTCGAAACTACTCGCCAAGTGGCAAGAGCCCTTTGTGGTCACACGGCGGGTAGGGGACAGGGGTGGACCATACAGATCTACCACCTCAACCTCCTCAAATCATGGAGGGAGGCGGAGTCCGTGTCCCTAGTGTCTGCAGTAGCGGAGAGAGAAGAGCTGGGGCCAGAGGTTCAAAAGTCCACGATCCGACCCGGCTCCCGTTCAACGCCCATCTCTCTGCAGCCCAGCAAGCGGACATAGCCCGGTTGCAAGATCAATTTAATGATGTGTTCGCCTCTCTGCCAGGTCACACGGATCTCATAGTGCATCACATTGAGACATCCCCGGGCGTGACGGTGCGGTGGCGCCCTACAGGTTACCTGAACACAAAAGGAAAATTGTTCAGCGAGAATTAGCCGCTATGCTGGAGATGAGGATAATAGATGAGTCCAACAATGCCTGGTGCAGCCCCATCTTGTCGCCAAGAAGGACGGCTCGATAAGGTTCTGTGTGGACTATCGCAGGGTTAATGTGGTATCACGGTTTGCTGCATACCCGATGCCCCGGGTCGACAAACTCCTGGATCGATTGGGCACCCCTTTTTTTTTTACGACACTGGATTTGACCAAGGTCTACTGGCAGATTCCCTTGTCGCCAGAGTCCAGGGAAAACACGGGTTTCTCCACTCCGTTTGGATTATACCAATTCACCACGCTTCCCTTTTTGGTTGTTCGGTGCCCTGGCCACCTTCCAGCGCCTCATGGACCGGGTGCTGCGTCCGCATCCTGCGTATGCTGCCGCCTACCTAGATAACGTCATCATACACAGCACCACGTGGGCGGAGCATGCGCGGCGGGTGGGCGCGGTGCTGGAGTCCCTGAGGCAGGCCGGGCTCACCGCCAACCTGGGGAAGTGTGCAGTTGGACGGAGGGAGGTACGGTATCTGGGGTAACACTTGGGCGGCGGGAGGGTGCGCTCTCAGGTGGACAAAACTGCAGCCATCACAGCCTGTCTGTGGGCCCAAGACAAAAAAAGAGGTGAGGCAGTTTTTGGGGCTGGCAGGCTACTACAGGAGGTTCATCAGCGTGGTGGACCTAAGGATAGAGCGGGTCGTATGGTGTAAAGCCTCCTGAAACACGTGGTATGGATTTAATTCCATTTGGGAAAATTGGCTATGAATGCAAAGCTGACTGGACATGTAGTACAAAGCACAAACAAACCATTTGCGGAGCTTTGCGGAGCTTTGCGGAGCTGACCAGTCCCTTGACTGACCTGACCCGCAAAGGTGCCTCAGATCCGGTCCAGTGGATGGAGTGGTGCCAGTGGGCGGTTGAGGGGGTGAAATTGGCCCTCTGTGCGGAACCACTGCTCCATACACCTAACTTCTCTCTCCCTTTTGTCTTGCAGACTGATGTGTCGAGCAGAGGGTCGTTTTGTCCCAGCAGGTGCAGGGGGTGGACCGCCCGGTCCTCTACATCAGCCGGAAGCTGTCGGAGAGAGAGGCCAGGTACAGTACGT